CATCCATGCACGGTTGAGCACCATACAGTGCAAATACCATGGTCCACCACGAGTGCTAACAGGGAAGAGGCACACTGGTGGATATGCCCATAGTGATATTCCCCGTGCCGCGGCAGGGCTGAATGGACCGTCACGTGAGCTGCTCCGTCGTTCCCAACACAATGCAGCAGAATGGGAGAAGGTGGACCGCGGCACACATGCAACCCTACTCCCATCGGGTCATTTTTCTATGTGGTTGCAAGTCGTATTCTGACCCCTACAGGGACTTGAACCCCCCACTCACGACGAGCAATCCTTGTGTTGTATAGCATAGGCGGCTCCGTTCGAGGAGCAAGAGGCGTTCTAGCCCTGACTTGCCCATATCAGAAACTTCAGGCCGTTCAAACGCATGAAAAATGTCTGTTTATAGTGAGGACATCTAACTTTGAAACGAGCCAAGATCCATTTAAACAACCTGAAAAGTGGGGATATATTTGGAGACATCTAGAGAGAAAGAGTCCATCGTAGTACAATGGCTAGTATATCGCTCTTTCAATAGTTGGTAGTTCTTCTACATCTAAGAACAGCGAAGACCCGGGTTCAATTCCCGGCGGTGGAATATCTTTTTGGTGCTCCCTGCGCCACAACTTTTTGGATCCCCATCTTCAATACATTCATTTATTTTGACTTGGTTGGCAAGCCCAGAGGACAGAGTGGAGCTTCTTGTTTTTGTTGTTCTTTGGGCTCTAACAAGCTTCGTCTTTAGGCTAACCCGATCAGTTTGGCAAGTGATGGCATCTGTGCTGCACGTTTGCCATGAACGCAAACATACCAGACCTTTCGTCCGAAGGGACCCTTCGGCACCGTGCAGCAGCTTCGGTGCCATCTCCCCCAGCGGCGACTGAAGCACCACAACCACCGCCATCAGCAGCAACAACGGAAGGAGGATCGACGTTCATGGATGCCCTGTTCTCGTCGCTCTTCCAGCCGGGGCTCAACCCGCCGCTGCACAACCTGATGAATTTCACGTTCTACGCACTCTTTGTTAGCCTTGCCGCGCTCATTTTCCTCACGTCCGGCAACGTGCACGTCATCGCGCTGCTCACCATCGCTGTCGGTCTGTGGGCGAGCGTGAACTGGTGCGTGGAGCGGGCGATGCATATGCACCCCGAGGCGATGTGTCATGCCTGTCTGATCTAACGTCGCTCTCATTCATTTGCATCAGGTTCCTTGCCGAACTCAAGAAGCTGCCAGTGTCGACGTTCCAGGTACAGACAGCACCGCCCGAGTCGCAGTCAGAAGAACCTCAAGAACAAAAGACAAAGAGCTGAAGCACTAAGCACCACGCGGCCCACGCACTGTCGCTTCAAAGCCCCTCGGACACATGCAACAGCATTTGAGCGCCCTTACCTCGTTCTCATCAGTGTACAGCATGTCGTGCTCCAATCCACAACGAACGCGGTGGCTCCTGTGTCGATTCGATGCGATTCGTGAATACACGAGCAAGGGCGCAATGTGCCACTCCCTGATCGCACTGCGCTCATCACAAGACACCCTCGTCGAAGCAGCGGGAGCACGCGCGTGCAAGCGTCAAGCAGCATGAAAGTTTTGACAGTGCGCGCTCCACTTCGGCGGACAAGCGGGTCACGAAATGATATTGCATCTTCCACCTTCACCATTACGGCCACGCCGCGTCTAGCGCCAGTACATGGGCGCATGTGGCTTGACTATCATCCACGCTTCGTCCAGCGCCTGCACCACTTCTTCCGGCAGGGGCCCTTTCAGGCTGATGTGTTCCACCATCGCGAGCAGATGGAGGAGAGGAGAAGAAGTCAAGCAATAGAGAGAAGAGAGGGGTTGTTAGCTGCCAAGCTCGGCTGGTTGCTCGCACTGGGTTCTCATAGAGGTGCATACGCACCTGTCTTGGCAATTCTGCTCGAGCTGCAGCGATCACAAGGAATGCAAACACTATCAGAACTTCCGATCGTTCGTCTGCACAAGCGCCCCGATAACTCACCTGAGCATTGGAGCTCGCGCCAAGTATGACGCCGTCCTTCTCCGTGAGCTTCGAGTGATGCTGCAGCCACCTCAACGCGAGCTCCGTCAAGCGCAGTGCGTGCTTCTCCGTGACGGGCTTGAGGTGCTCGAGCGCGGCAAAGTAGCCTCCTTTGACGTATCGCGCGCGGTACATCGTACCCATCTGGCTAGAAGGGTCGAAGCGTGAGCCTGGTTCCGGCACAGATGACTCGGAGACAAGCTTGCCGGCGAAAAACCCTCCTGCGAGCATATGTGCGATGAAGCGTCAGAGTGCGCTGCGATCAGAAGCTCGACGACGGTACGATGTGCTTTTTGGAACTCACCGGCGATGGGGTTGCTGTGGGCAGTTAGATGAAGTGACCAGCGAGATGAGCTTTCGACCGTTTTTTCGAACAGGTTCCCCATGCTGAACGACCACTCACTATACTACAACCCTCAGTCCGTACTTGCGGCAAGCTGGAAAGAGCTCCTCTTCAGCCGAGCGGGTGATGGCGTTATACATTGCTGTACATCATCCAGATACCACAGGTCAGCTTGTCGCAGTCGCCTGGGAGATGAAGTCTAGCAACGGCCCATGCACACATTGATAGATGGTCGGCTGAATGTACCCCTTGGCCTTACAAATTCCAACGACCTCGGCGACCTCCCACGCGGCAAAGTTGCTCAGGCCAAACTGCTGGAACTTGCCCTCACTGTGCAACTTGTCCACCTCCGCGCACGTCTCATCGAACGGCACGGAACGGTCCGGCGCGTGTAGGTACAGTGTGCGAACGCACGACACCTTCAATGCTGCCAGCGACTTTTCGAAAGTCGCACGCAACTTGGCGGGCGAGTGATCGCCCGCCTGGACGGGATAGACTCTTTCGTTCGGTTGAGCCCGATTGAAGGGCAGGTTGTCAGCTTGATTTTCCGTCTTGAACGACACGACCAAGCTTAGACAGCTGCCCGCTCACTTGGTGTCGATGGCATCACCATGCGTATCTAGGTCGGCGAGATATTCCTCCGTCGTACCCTCTCCATACATGCGCGCTGCAGTCGGAATCGGTGAGTTCATGCTTGGGTCATCTGCTCGCTCGCACGGCACGAACGACGGTCGAACCGTCCTTCGATGTCACCTACCAGTATCAAGCTCGTTCCCATATTTGCTGTACGTGTCAATGATCTCCTGTGCCTCCTTCTTGTCACCAATACGACAGCCGTTCGTGCCCGGACGGGATATGGTCATCGTGCCAAAGATCAGAGGCACGCGCGGAGTCGACATGGTGTCAGGTGTAAGCGCTTGCGATTATGGGCGACGCGAGATTGGACACGGGTTTTCAGAAATGGAAATGCGCCATGAACACCCTGCACTAGGCAACAGAGGAATCGTCCGATGTGCGGAGCGAGTGCTCTTGTCGACGATGCGGTGTTGAAAGTAAGAAGTGACCATTTCGATGCACCATCACCGCCCAGTCGCGTAATTGTTCGAGGGTGCGCTGGGTGCGCCACACACCCGCGTTGTGATCTTATTCAACATGCTACCAACAGTGCACATTCGCATCTAATCATCGACTCCTACAAAACTGCAGCACGATGCTGTTAGTAAGTCGCACAGCAGCCGTACAGCGCAGAAAACGCCCCAGCCCCGCGACTACGTCGCAGCCAGCACGGGCGCAGGCGGATCGCAACCCGCCCTGCACAGGCCGCAGCGAACCTCACAGCGCGCGTACTTCCCGCAGACGGATTCTACTGTACTCCTTGCGAGTGCTGACAAAGGGAAGTTGTTTTGTTGGATCAAATTACATTGTATAATTGGAATGGAGAGGGACGAAGAAGGAAAGAGAAGATAGAGGCTATGTGTGTGCGTGTGCGAAAAGTGCTCAAGGGCGAGGCGGGAGTAGAAATGTACAGACACCACGCACGACAGCCAGCCAGTGCAGCCGCCCGTGATCCGCATGAGGGCGGGACATGTTGAGCAGTGGCCGCTTGCTTGAACCGGCTGTCCACGCCATTTGCGCTCCTTCCACCACGCAAGCCGTATCCCGCGTATATTCTTTGTCTCGCCACAACGCACATCACGCGCGGAAGGAGTGATCCGCCTGATGTCCCACCTGTGCCCTTCCCCTCCTCGCTTCCGTGTGCTGAGCGGGCCAGGAAGCGCGCGGGCGCTGGTTTCGGTTCGCGCCGCGCCGCGCGCAGCTTGACCCGCCTAGATGCAAACACCCTCTGCACCCCTCTCCACGCCACCCTCGCGCGTCGTCCTTTACTTAGGTTAGCACTGTTAGGCGAGACAAAAGCAAAAATAAAAACAAACAGAAGCAGACGCGTGTCAGCATTTCCTGCAGCAGCGTCTCTCTCCTGAGCGCACCCCTCGTGGGGTGTGTACGCACCCCAGGGTGTTCGCTGCTCCTGGTGTTGAGGATAAGCGCGACAATAAGGCCATACAGACCGAGCACCTCGGCGAAAATCAGGATGAGAACCATGCCGATGAACAGCCTCGGCTGCTGCGCCGTGCCGCGGACACCCGCATCACCGACAATGCCGATGGCGAACCCGGCGGCGAGACCGGCGAGGCCGACAGACAGACCGGCGCCGAGCTGGATGAAGCCGGTGTACAGAGGCATCGGTGACCTGACTGCAGAGCAACGGGGCGAGAAGGGAGGGAGGGTCAGCAACGGATCTGACAGGTGCAAGCTGTAACATGTGCGCCCCGACTCACTGTCCGAGGAGATGAGCACACTAACGACCAAGCCATAGATCTGTATGCACAGCGTAGTGTATCAAGTCAGCAGCGAGCTCCACCGAGGCCGCCATGCAACTGTTGCTTGTCGCCCTCCGGCTAGGCCAGTCCGGTCCATGTACTCGAGACCTGGCAACCGTACTCACAGCAATGATACCTGTAGGCGGAGGCGGAGGGTACGAACAGAGAAAAGCGTCAGTAATGTTCTCGCTCAGCGACATCTCAGAAAAGAGCCGCGTGCTGTCAGTGCGGATGTTGCCGCTCACCAGCCATGATGATGGGAATGCTACACTTGATGAGCAGATCTGGTCGCAGGACACCCATGGCGGAGAGACCGACGCCGGACTTGGCCGTGCCGTACGAGGCGCCAAAGCAGGCGAAGACAATGGCGGCGGTGCAGCCCTTAACGTCAGAGGGAGGCAGCACGATCAGTTACACATCCCGAGGCTCGTTGGTGGCACAGGCGGAGGAGGGCGCGTCGACTCACCATGGCACCTGCGCGATAGCGTCCGCAGCGAATTGTGAGAGCAGCAGTGCGCCAAGGACAGCGTCAGCGAGGTTATGTGAAACAAGAAAGACGTCTACGCCCTGATGCCACGTGCGTATGCGACAGTGGTTCTTGCGCGAGCATAGACGCCAGCTGCAACTGCCCCTCAAAGGGGCGGGAGAGGAACGCGAATGCCGCTGGGTGTGCATGTGAGGGAACTCACCGAAGAACGGCGCGTAGACCGGGCAAAGCTCTGTGTTGATGTCAGTCATTGTGGAGGAAGGAAGGAGGCGAGTTATGCGTATGTGCTGCTGGTCGTACCAACCAATTGAAGGGTCAGCATGTATGGGCGAGAAAAAAGGAGGGGCAGAAGGGTGGTTGGAGCGTACAGAAGGGGAAACAGCACAATGATCAGTTCTTGACCTGCGCCCGTCCCGATTCTCTCGCTCGCTCGTCACTGCTACCTGCTGTTGCTAGCCGGTGCGGACCTGAGCTGCGCTCTTGGTTGCATGCACATACCTGCTTGCTCTGCTTCTGCCGCTATTGCTGTTATTATCTGCTGTCTGTGCTTGCGTCAATGCCATCTGTCAGCCTGCTAGATGGTTTACAAGAGGGGGCGAGTATGTGTAGCAAAAGAGGGAAGTTGACCAGGGGCGCATCGAGTGGGTTCTCGGTTCTCTCTTGTGTTGTGCTGAGGCTAAACGAGAGGCACTCCGCCTGTCTCCTCCTGCGCACGCCCACGACCACACACGCCGCTCCCTCTGCCCCCTTCGGTGCAGGCTGCGCTGGAAGCCCCCAGTGCGGATGACCCAGGGCGGAACAGCGCAAACGTGCACCGCACTGCGCCGCTCTCTGCAGGCAAGCCGCCAGCACACTCACACGACCCTACCAGCTAAACCACCTTCGAAGCTCCCACGCAGGCTCAAGCAACATACAGTCAAGTCACAGGCATCAGACACGCGCAACGACAGCAGTGGCTGTCGTCGTCTTCTTCGTCACCATCCAGGCTGCGACATGGTGCAGACAAAGGACCGTGGACCAGCGGCGGGACAGGGTTTGTTCGTCGGCGTTATCACACATTGAGATGAGGGATGCAACGCATGTAAAAAGCGAAAGTTTTAAATAGGCACATGCACATCATCTTCCAGCGTAAAGCCGTCCAGGATGGCGCCTGCACTGAGCCACCCCGCGAGCGGTGCGTTGCTCCTGCTTTCGTTCGTCGGGGCTATAGGCGCCGTGGGCCCCTCTGAGCCTTCGACCAAAGGCGGCAGCAGTGCAGGAGCAGTAGCAGTAGCATCGCCGGGAGCGACCCTCGCACTCCGCAGGAAAGCAGCTACACGCGCGTCTAACGCAAGCACGTCCGGCGCATCAGAAAGGCAAAAGCCCCGAGCACACGCCTTGGCCTGCCGGTACTGTGCGATTCCGGGAGCTCGCAAGTCGTGCTTGGCGTCAAAGTACGTCTGGTGGCGGGACGCTCTCGGCTTTTGTTCTTGTTCTTGTTCTGGCTGTTGCTGTTGTTGTTGCTCTTCCTGCGCGCCGCTTCTGCCGCACGCGCTGCGCTGCAAGCAAGCGGACCCATGCGCGACGTGGCGCCACCACTCGCGCTTGCACAGCTTGGAGAGCTTGTTCGAAGGCAAAGGCAGGCTTGCGCCACCGCTTGTGCGGCCAGTTGCCCTGCCGAGCGACGCGCCCATCTTGATGCCCACACCATTGATCTTGTCGACCGGTACGCCATCGACAAGACAGAACGAGTCCGCCGACGGGAGCACGAGCGGTGGGACAACGACAGCCCCAGGCGTCGTGCGGTGGTCGTTGTTCGTCAGCGCTGCTGGCGCGGCGGTGCTCGCGATGGCGGCGTCTCTGCCGTCCTCGAATGGTAGATGCGTCACGTGGACCAGCAAGGGGGAGCAACCGGGATGGCCCGATGCCAGCGCTGACAAAACGAGGCTCTGGACGCGCTCACTGAGCGCACGCTCGACGTCCGTCCGAAGTCGCGGTGCGTCCGCCGCCCATCTGCCATTACTGTCCTCCGTGCTTGCAGATGCGCGTACGCCGTCGCATCCGACCGTGATGCTGCTCAGCCGCACGGGCTCGATGATAAAGCGGGACAACAGGCTGCCCTGCAGACCGGCAACGCTCCACAGAGCCAGTTTATCGGAGCATGACATGCTAATCGAAGCTGGTGCGTCGGCCCTCCCTATGTGCGCCACGAGGAAGAGCACGGTGAGCGATCTTCTGCATTTGCCGTTACGTGATGCATCCACGCACCTACCTGGCTTGGTGCGCACGCGGCCTCGGAGAGCAAGACCGCGGCGGCCGCGAAGGGCCTCATCCTCGTTGAGCTTGGCATCATGTAGATTATGCGCCTGCACAGCTTCGTTCTCGCCCTCCGCAAGCAGCAGCGAGGAGGAAGCGTCGCCGCATGGTGCACGCGAAACATACATGTGCAGACTGTAAGCCGGATTGAGGCGCCATCCAGTGTGTTGTCCTGGACCGGCCTCGTCTACGTTTGTGACCATCCCTCGATCGGCCGGCAGGAATACGGGTAACGGCAAGTCGATATCTGCTCTGCCTGGATCGGCTCTAGCGGAAGCGCCAGCTGCACTGCATCCGCTGCCGCACTCCTTCACGAGCCGCTGCAGCAGCCACCTGCGCAGGCCCCTCCGGGCGAGGACTTCAGCATGGTGGTCTTGCACCAAATCGCCGTGCCTCGAGAGCGCTTCGTACGGCAGACACTTGACGCCGCTGGCCAGCACGAGTACACGGTGCTGCAGTTGCTGCAGCGGCGGCGGCGATGTGGCCGCGACTGGGACAGGTGTGTACGAGAGGACGATCCCGGCTAGGACCGTCCAGCGTCTGCAAACACCGAACGCATTGAGTGGCAGGCGTGAGCGCGTGCACAGGGCGACCTGTTGGGTAAATGGAGCACGCACCTCTGTTGTGCATCCTGCACCGGCTTTCCTGATCTCGGCGGCAGCGATGCGTATGCTTGCAGGCACAGCTGGGCGATCTCGTCGCCGGTCGTATTCGGGACGGTGTTCGGCGGCGTCGGCGTCACGTCGACATTGTCCATGGAGCCGCCAAGGGTTCGTTGGTCGAGCTCGGTATGGGCCTGCGCATTCCCATGCATTGGCCATGTACGAGCACGCTGCGCAGCGGATGACAGGCTTGCAAGGCGCGTTGCACGGCGAAGCAGATGAGGGCAGTGCCGAGTCTAGTCCTCTCCGCAGGGGGGCGATCGAATAACCATTCAAGAATTCACGACGAGAAGCCTTCTTTCTTTTCAGCATGTGCTATTAATTCTTTCTTTTTTCACTGGGTAGTCACAGCACTCCAGCAGATGGGCAGGAGAATTTGTTTGGTGGCACGGGCCACGCCGCCACGGGGGTGCGCACAGATCAGCATTGAGTATTTGAGTCTGCCGTGTGAAGCGCTTCGCATTCGGCCCTCGGAACCACACAATGGCAAAACTACTGATCGATATTAAGGATAGTAGGAAAGTAGGGTTTACACACTGCCCCAATGGCCCGCAGACGCAGGGCAGTCTACAATGAGCACGTTGCGTTGCACCTTGCAGTGAATCTACTTTTCTTCTCCAACCGCAACCCAACTTCCACCAAAGAAATAACGCCCCCATCTCACATCCCAACAGCCAAGCAGTTCCGTCCGACAGCAGGAGGACCCATTCTGCTGCCACACAGGCTGGTCATAATGCCATCGAAAGCCAAATCCGCCGGTTTGTCAGCTCCCGCAGCGGGCGAGAATGGCGGCGGATCGGGTCGCTCGACGCCGTCTCGCTACGCCTCGCGCACAGCATTCGACGGCCTCGCCGTCGAGGGAAATGATTGCGACGACGGTCAGGACGAAGAGTCGGAGGGGGAAGAAGAGGAAGAGCAGCTGGAGGACGACCGCGCTGCCGATCTGGCCAGACCCCTCACAAGGAGCGCAAAAAAACGCGCAGCGAAGCTGGCGAGGGAGGAGAAGCGACGGACGGCTAAAGCGAGCAGAGGGGCTTCAGACAGCTCCCAAGTAGCATCAGACGGCGGGGCAATAGACTTGGAAGGCGTACCACAAGCGCCTGCATCCCCCACCTCGGCGCCGACTCAGGCGGATACTGGTGGCAGCGCGAAAACTACTGCGGGCGCAGGCGCAGCCCCATCCTCACCTTCTTCTTTCTCTTCTTCTCCTTCCTCTTTGTCTTCTTCTTCTACTTCACCTTCTTCGTCTTCTTCACCATCGTCTTCTTCTAATCCGACGCCGCAATTAGCGTCCGCCGTCAGGATGGCAGAAAACATTCCGACCGCTGCGTCCGTCTCTGCGTTTAGCGCCGAGCCCATGGTGCGCGACTCGTCTGCCATCTCTGCCGCCGCCGCAGTAGGCAAGCATGTCACGCTCGTCGAAGCAGAGAAGATCAGCAACACGAAGGGCGCTAGCGCTGACACGCAGACATATTGGAAGAAGGTGTACGAGCGGACATTCTACACATTCGTCATGATAGGAGGCTTCATTGGTGCGTCCGGAGCCTTGGACGGCGTCGCATCTGAGCGACAGAGCGCGCTGACACTCCCGTGTTTGCCTTTGTCAATGTCCAGCACTGCTTCTTCTCGGGCACCCATACATGATCCTGCTCGTCATGGTCATCCAGACGGTCGTCTACCGCGAAGTCACCGGGCTATTCAATTTACCCAGCAGGCCGCATGTCACTGGCAGCAGCACGGGCACCAACACGCCAAGCGCCGCGGGGCCGCGGGTGCCGAGTGTGGTCAATGAGTTGGACGAAGATTACTTTGCCAGGGACAAGGGCAGGCGGCGCGAGGATCTGTGGAGCAAGACGCTGAGCTGGTTCGTTGCCATTTGCGGTGGTGTGCGGTGCAGCGCGGGTAGTGCGCTCCTGCTGACCAGCTTGTGGTTTCCTGTGCGCGCAGGTACTTCTTCGTGGTGGCCAACTACTTTCTATACGGCGAGTCCATGATCTACTACTTCAAGCACATTGTCTTTGTCGACGCATACTTTATCCCGTTTGCGCGGCACCACCGCTTCCTGTCATTCATGCTGTACGTCTTTGGGTTCATGGCGTTCATCCTGAATCTGCGGCGCGACAACCTGAAGCGGCAGTTTGGTCTGTTTGCATGGGTGCACATGAGCCTGCTGCTGATCGTCGTCAGCAGTCACTTCCTTGTGAACAACATCCTCGAGGGCCTCATCTGGTTCTGGGTACCGGCGAGCCTGGTGATCTGCAACGACATTTTTGCATACGTGTGCGGCATGCTGTTCGGGCGCACGCCGCTGATCAGCCTCAGCCCTAAGAAGACGATGGAGGGCTTCTTCGGCGCCTTCGCCATCACCGTCCTCTTCTCATGGGGCTGGGGCAGCTTCTTTCAGCAGTTCAACTATATGATCTGCCCGGCCGTGTCCCTGGGGATGAATGCGTTCAAGGACATCCAGTGCCAGCCGAACCCGGTCTTCCTGTGGCACCACGCGCGACTGCCCGCCGTGTTCGCGTCGGCGCTGACGCGCGTCCTCGCGCCCCTCACCGGCGGCAGGGCGATCGAGACGCTGCCGTACACGCCGTTTCAGTTGCACTCGCTCGTCATGGCCGCGTTCGCGAGCCTCGTCGCGCCGTTTGGCGGCTTTTTTGCCAGCGGCTTCAAGCGCGCCTTCAATATTAAAGACTTTGGCGACTCCATCCCCGGCCACGGCGGCCTGACGGACCGCTTCGACTGCCAGTCAGTGCTGTATCAGAGGAAGGGCATTTGGAGAGTACCCGCTGATGATCCTTCCCACACGCCTTGTCTCTCTCCAGGTTTCTAATGGGCCTGTGGGCATACGTGTACTACTCGTCGCTCATCCGCGAGCACCACGTCAGCGTCGGCTCGGTCCTACAGACGATTGTGACGCACCTGACGCTCGAGGACCAGATCGAGGTCTATCGCGAAGTCGGCCGCTTCCTGCACGGCCAGGGCGTGCAACTGTAAATATAGCAACCTGCCCCAACGAGACAAGGGTGAGGCAGGGCGCGTGCCGCAGTGCTGCGCGAGGATCGCAAAGAACTCTATAGGAGGCGTGGCACGCCCACCGCGTGTGTACAGTATACAGTCAACACTGTCAAATGACATGCCTGCTGATATTAGTCCCAAGCCAGCTTGCGAACCGCGTAAATATATTTTTTGGCTCGACGAGCGCTCGGTTCATTCCTCGCCAGAATATACACGGGGTGTATGCAGAATTTTGCCCAGACGCACGACGCCTCTTGTGCCTGTATGTAGATACGGACGTGTCAGATAGGAATGTATAGCAGACAGAGACAGAAGCGGCAGACTCTGGCGGGAGGCGCAATGTGCATCTTCAAGGGCATGTACAACGTACATTAGCACAATACCGCACCAAGAAAGCATTCCAGTTTCCACTCAGTGCAGCCTATGACACCGTGGAGAGGAGGAAAACTACACAAAGAGATGCTCGACAGAAATGCTGCTACGTACACGGACTTGAAGTGGTGGGGACTGTCTGCAACACGAATGCGAACCATGAGAACTACATAGCTTTCTCGCACGAGAGAGGCCCAATGGGCTTGCGTAGTGCACAGTGCATATGGTTCTCTAACAAAGTTCCAGGGGGCTTGCTGCAGTTGACGCCTGACGCGCTCTGGAAAGATTGTCAGGGAAGGAAAGGGGGCACCACGACAAGTAGGCATCGTGGGTTCCCCCTGTCTAATGCCAGCTGAGGGAGGAGTACATGTGGGATTCAAAGGAGAGCTGCGCTGCGAGATGACCCAGCACCGGAGTCCCGCAGCAGTTTCAGTGCATTCACCTGATAATTTTGACATGCATTCTTGGTGTTGTGAGCCAGTTGGGGGGGGGGTAGGCGGGGTTGGGTAGAGTGCCGTGCTGGATTGGGTGCCTCCTTGCAGCATGCGCAAAGCGAGCCGGCGGCACAGAAACGGGAACACGGCGACTCGTCTCGAGTGGGGGGGCACAGTATGTACACACTCCCCATACATGCCACGCCGCAACCAGCACGCCAGTCAACCAACCACAACGAAGACGTCTCTCACTCACTCGCCACTTGCATCCTTTCTCCTCCATCCGCTCCCTCCTCCTCGTCGCCATTGCTCTTAACCACCTCCTCCTCGGCCCCCACATACGCTACGACTCTCACTTGATTGTTCATACCTCCAAGCAGCTTGCTCCAGCCCAACCCACTGTTCGATAGGATCCATTCACCTGTTGCTCTCCCTCGCTTCGCGCATCGTCACCATGAGGACCACCTTCGTCTCTCTCACCGCCCTCGCGCTCTCCAGCCTCGTTGCAGCAGCCGCCTCTGGTGGCGGATTGGCCAACGTTGAAGCGCACAAGCGTAGGATCGAGAGCCGCGCTGCCGCCAAACAGGCCTCAGCCAGTTCCAGTGCCCCCGCTGACGTCGCCGCCTCCATTGCACAGGCCGTCACGCAGTTTCAGGCGGCGCAGCTTGTTCCCAAGCCCATCCAGCAGGCCTGGCTCAATCCCCTCGCCGCACTGACGATCAGCTACGACGGCAAGCCCGCTGTGCTCGGCAGCAAGCAGGCCGTCGCAGACTTGCAGTCGCGCCCGATCTACTCGCTCAACTACACCAGCTCCGCCTCGGCCGATGCGGCCGCCTTTACCAACAGCGCCAAGTTCACCGTCATGTTCATCGACGCCAGCTTCGTCGGCGATAACTCCATCGGCAACAATGTAACCCGTCACTACCTCGTAAGTCTGGCCCTCGGCCGTCATCGTCTTTGCATGGTTTCACTCGCTCGTGCCGGCACTAACATTCGGCGATTTCTCTTTTAGGGCAACGACTACACAATTGACACACAGACGGGCGCCCTGCAGGGCGGCACACCGATCACCAAGTACGCGGCCCCTCTCCCGTGAGTGGATCCTGCTCTGCATGCTTTCCCTGCTGCTTGCTCACCCTTCTTACGCCTGCAGTAAGAGCGGCGACCCCCCGCACCGGTACATGCAGCTCGTCTGGGCGCAGCCGGCGTCCTTCAAGGCGCCTGCACTGCCCGCCGAGGGCTCGGGTGTCGAGTCATGGGACGTGTCGTCGTACGTGACCCAGGCGGGCCTGCAGCACATTGTCGCCCTGAGCTACATCCAGGTGCAGGTCGGCACCTCTTCGCAGGTGGCCGCGACGTCCGCGCCGGCGGCGGCCAGCGTCGCGTCGGCCAGCGCGAGCGCCCTCGCTGCGCTCAGTGGCAGCTCGACCACTGCGCCATCCGCGACGTCCACCGGTGCCAATGGCTCCAAGAATGCCGCGGTCAGCACCCTCCCCGCCGCGTCGCTCGCGCTCGTCCTCGCCGGCTTTGGTGCCGCGGGCGTCTTGGCGCTCTGAGCAACTGGGGCTGTCCGCATCGTCTGTCTTGGCTGCACGCTGCTGGTCAGCGTGCATGCGTATCGCGAGCGCGCTGCCCACTTCTTTTCGTGCTTGACATGCAGCTCGCTCCTCTTCTCGTGCTACCCCTGGACAGCCAGCCAATCAAGCAAGCAATGCAGCCAGGTTGCTGCCGCTCATTTTTTCATGCCTTGGTTTCCCTCTTGTTGCTCGAGCCCTCTTGAGGAGTTGTTGGCGTCGTTATGCTGCTGCCTCCGAGAAGGCTAGTCTGTTGCCATGTACGGCTCGGCCCGTTCGCGCTGCAGCGGACCACTCCATCTTGCCGGGCGCTTTTCTCCCATCTCATCCGCTTGGGCAATCACCAACTCATCAACCCTGGTCTTCTCCCTCGAGAGGATGCAGCGCCACCGAATGACCGACCCCCCGACCGCCGCTTCGTAACCCTTGTGTATCGCAGTCATCTATATGCAGTGCATGAACATTGGACCTGTTCTGGAATTTAGAATTACAGCGGCTGACGAGCTTGCGCTTGGCTGTTTTGGCTTCTGCCAGGCTAGCCTGCGCCGAGGAGGAGGTTGAGCATGCGTTCGGCGGGATGCACAGCAGAAAGCATAACCCCTGGGAAAGCGCCGTCGACCCTATGCATGCTGCACCATACGCAATACGTCTGCTCGGCCGCAGTTGTGTATAGCTTGCATTGTCGGAAGCACGCGTGAGGCGTCTACTCGAGCTCTTCAGAATGGCCGACAGCTTTGCAGCTATGCCGTCACGGAATGGTTTCAATGTGACAGTGAAGCAAAATGAAATAATCGAAGAGATTGGTGAAGCGGGGACGTGGGAGTCGAGGCGTGTGCTTGACTTGCCAGCTGTCTCATTGTGCTTCTCGGAATCTCGAAGTCTCGAACCGCACCACATATACCACGACACTGCCCGCACCCCGCACAACTTGACCAGCGTTCATGCATTCTTAACAGCAACGCCTACGCTGAGACGAAGAGGAGTCAGGGAATAGCTTAGCCGCTAGAGGCTCAGGTCTCGACCGCATGTCTTCCGAGTTGGCGAGTTGGGCGCGACGCACGAAGCAGAACACAGATGGCTTGTTGGCGAGTCAAGTGCTGCTGACTCTGTCCCCTTGTGACCCGTAGCTAGCTTGTTGATCTATCTGCGAACTCTTTTTGGCACTCACCTCCAGCCGCTGCGCTGACCGATGGCTCGGGAAAGCTGTCCCTCCTGGAAGCTAGCGAGCGCACTGCACAAGGCTTCGGCGTCCATGCCCTGCCTGACGCCGCTGTCGAGAAACGCAACACCACCAGCATACTTGCACGGCAGGTTGTCGCTCGCGGCGGCAAGCGCGCAAGGATTGCATCACCGATATGCCCACTTCGGCACCACTCAGTCTCGTGCTGGGCTTCGCGAATGACGATGACGGGGGCACACATGGTGCCACCGGCACATCTCAGCAGAATGCCTTTGGCCCGGCGATACCGCGGAGCAACTGGCGCCGAACCCTTTCTCTGCTCCGTCCCCATATTCATGCTCGCGCTCGGCCGCTGGCCGGCAGGCCAATGACCAGTAATGAAGCAGCGAGGCACGCAGATCCTGGTGAAGCGCTCGAAGAGGACATAGACAACCCCTGGGGTCCCGAAGATGGCACATTCTTTGACGATGATAGCGCTTATCAGGATGGCCTCGGCGGGAGGAGCAGCAGCGACAGCGATTCCGAGCAGGATCCACGGGAACGCGAAGCAGGAGGCAAAGCGCCCTCACCGCCGCAACTTCCTCCGTATACGCAGCACGGGTTCACGCCTGGCTGGACAACAGCTATCACGACGTGGTGGGAAGACGCGCCGCTTGCAAGCAGCAGCAGCTCTGTGCGCACGCTCGTAGCAGGTACCGTGCTTCCCATCCGACGTGGCTTCGATGCAAGTCAGTCTGGCGCCCCTCGTGCCGGCCTGCAAGGAGCCGGTGACGTGCTGCAGAAGCGCAGCTCCGTCTCCTCTCTCCGCCGCGCACGCGCGAACGAGAGCTCTCTGAGCTCGGCGCAAAGCTCAGCGATGGGCAACCCGCTCCTGTCCCGTGTTGTTGTGGATGCTGCTGCTGCTGCTGCGGCCGCCGCCGCATTAACAGATACGAAAGGCTTGGAGAGCAGAAAGACGAGGCGCAAGATAACCGTGCTCGGCGGTACGCCGGGCTATCGGGTAGCCCTGGGATTCCAGGATGGCTCTGTGTGGATCATGAAATCGGATCTTCATGAGCCGGCAAGGCATCAGGGTGCTATTGTAGCGCCTGGGAATGGCGAGGCGGACGTTGGGCTCCTTTCGCCTACCCAGCTTCGCTCGCACGGAGCGGCGTCGCCCCGCCGCCCATTATCGGGGAGCTCAACACCAGGTCAGGGACGGCTGAGAAGCATCTCCGCCACAAAGCAACAACAACAGCAGCATCAACAGTTTCAGCAGGCGCGTGTGCCGAGCATCTCGGGTTTCGCGCCCGAGCCGCCATCTGCATCGGAACTGACGAGCCAAGGTGTGGTCGTGATGGCTAGCCCGCCGAGCTTTTCGCAAGACACTGATGCGCACAGCGCGGCGGACTCTTCTGCCGCCTCTGCCTCGACGGCACCGATGGAGAAGAAGGGAAGCGGCGGCGGAACGGCAGCAAAAGGAGGACGCCATTTTATGAGCAGCATCTGGGGAGCTGCTGGAGGTGTAAGCGCAGGCTCTCCGGCAGCACCTGATAAAGGTAAGGACGCAAGCGCCAGCGCTAGCATGCCCTCGGCCGAGGCGCTCTTAGAGGCGCAGTATCACGCAGGAGAGCATCAGAGTGACTTGATCTCCGGAGCCGTTGGGCGACTCTTCGCTGGGACTTCGACCGAAGATCGCCATCACCATCACCAGCACCATGGCCATCCACCTCCCTCACCTCATGCAGACACAGACTCGGATGTAAATGACAGTCAGCAGAGGAAAAAAAAACCGGCACCGCCGTCGGGGCGAGCCGGACGCCTGCATGCTCGCTCGCAAGCGCTTGCTGTCAATTCGCTCTGTTTGCCCCTCCCCAGTGGCCTCCAAACGCCAAACACCCGCGCATCACCTCTATCAGCGCACACGCCTCTGAGTGATTGGGATAGCGCAGGGTCATGGAACACGAGCCCCGCGCGCCCGCAGACGATCATCACGTGTGCAGACGACGATGAAGACGAAGAACAGGGATTGCAGGATGCACCGGTCGATGGCACAGTGGACCCATACGAATTGAAGTACCTCTCGCCGGTCGTGCAGCTCTCAGGGTCAGACAGCTCGCCGGTCGTCGTAATCAAGCTCGTTGAATCTGAGGCTCGGTCGAGCCTCGCTGTGTTACAGCAGGACGGCGCTCTCTCGGTCTGGTCGATGGACGACGGCAGTCAGCAAGGGCGGCTGGACCTCAACCGTTCAAGCGCCTATCCTCCGGAAATAAAAGTCGTTGCGGACCTCCCGACGTCAGACTCGACGAGTTTTTTGCAGTCTATGCCGGCGCATCTGGCGAGTATTGCGGCGAGGCGCTTGCACAGCAACTCACCGGCTCCGGGTGCTGCCGGCTCGCATGCCGGTTCTCGCATCGGCTCGCGCAGAGGATCGCACTCGAACGGCGTGCGCAGCACACAAGCGAGCAAAGATCAATGCAGACTGCTACAGGTCCAATTCGAAGGCATGCAGGTATTCTTGCAGAGCAACAAGCCATACGGAGTGCTGAAGGATTGTTTGCGGCGGCTCCTGGTGGTAGTCGAGTTCGAGCCGACCCTGCGGGTAATGGAAGCTATCGAACTTCCGCCAGAATCTCGCAGCTCGTGCGCCATACCGTACCCTGGCGACCAAGGAGTCCGACTGCTTGCGCTCGGTGCTGATGGAAAGCTGTTATTGCGTTGCTGGACGCCAGTGGATTCGCAAGGGAGCAAGAGCGGCATCAATGGACAGGATGCAAGGGTCGAGCAAAATGGAAGTGGGACCGGGGCCAATACCCCGCAGCAATCTCAGCAGAAGCATCAGGCGCCTACAGAATGGAAAGAGATGCAGCGGCTTCGTATTGACGCCGGAGAAAGCATGAGCGATGCTGAAGGGATTGAAGCGTGCGGACTTCTATTGCTTGCGTGGTGTCAAGACACGCTCGCGGTGAGTGGTGCCTCTCTCTCTCCCCCTTTACCCACTGATCGGCCGGTTGACTGGATGCTTCGACAGGTGTTTGCTGAGTGCGATGGCAAGTTCCAACAGATTGAGCGTCGTGCCTTTAACGGCATTCGGACCGCCCGTCTTTCAGGTGGCGAGCGTTGCGTTCAAGTGCAGACCCAGAAAGGTGTGCTAGGCGCCCACCTGACTCAGAGCGGCTTCGCCCAGAGCGCACCATTTCCTCTCCCATCTGACGCTTTCTGCGCGGACGCCACTCTTGACCTCCTCGGCAACCTCCACGGTATCTTCCCTGCTGAAGATGAGACTGTCGGACTCAAAATTGTGACGATCAACGCTATTGCAAGTCTGCCTCAGGAAATTTTCGCCCAGAGAAGGTCCGCATTTGGCCGCGTCCGACCGCTAGTACCGCTCAGCCTCGAGAAGGTCTTGCTCCCATGCTCAAGAGGAGCGCTTGATGCAGCTCGATTTGATGCGGTTGCTGCCGGGAGCGAAGAAACGAAGCAAGGCATGGTAGGGACCGAGCTCTGTGTGCTGCAAATCGTGCTACAGCCACGTACGCAGGCCAAGCTTTTGGTTGGAGGCACACTTTGTGGGGATATTCTGATCTGGGACACGCAGTCCCTTCAACTACTTGCGATGCTCTCTCAATTCGACTCGAGCGTTGCGCATATATTCCTGCTCGACTCGAGACCTAGTCGAGGTCGCTTAAACGAGTGCCTGGCGTGTGTCGCGGCTGATGGAACCGTCGCCATCCTTCAGTTAGACAGCTACAAGCTGCGCTTGCTCATACCGAGTCGAGGCGCGCCGCTGGACCGCCTCGCGATGCGAGAGGATGAGTTGCTGCTTATGTACGCAGATGGAAACGCCCGTATTTGGGATATGCGGTCTCAAGAACTGCGCCACAGTATGCCTTTGAGCAAAGCAATCGCTACGCTCGAAGACGGAGGTGCTCCTTGGGCCCAATACGAAACGACATCGGTCCCAGCTCCCCGCGTTTCGACTGGTGTCCTCAGCCATCTACCTCTGCCTCCACACGCCTCCACCAACATGCTGCAGGCAGATATGCGGAAAGTGATTGAAGCTGCTGCCAAGACTGTGGCTCCAAAGCGCAGTGCCAAGGACGAAGTTGGTATCGATGACCGCTCCGACAAAGCGCAGTTGCAGTGGCCGAAGTGCTCGATAGACTTGCCTCCGGCACAAAAAGCATTGTCGATTCTGCGGCCATTCTTACAAGCGCTTTGGCCACGCAGCAGACAGATGCAAAACAAGCAGCTGTTCACTCAATACATCTCGCTTTCCCAGAGCGCCATCTCTACGCTCGGCTCGTGCGCCTCGTCGCGCATGTCTTGGACAGGGATTACCGCCAGTCAAGCGGACCCGTCTCTGTACACGTCGCATCAGATCGTGCTCCATGCGATCCTGCGCGTCCTGTCGCACATCGACGAGCTCTCCGACGACGCTTTCCGCGCACTTGCGGCATTGCTCAGCCCCGCTACCCTGCATCATGGCAGCTTGGTGCTACCGCAGCTGGCGCGATTCTTCTTTGACGCGAACAGAGAGGTAGCTCACTCTGCAAGATCGCTGTTTGAGGCGGCGCTCACACACCTCTCGGACGAGTCCATCGCGGCGCTGGTCGATCTGCATTGCGCAGCAGCGCAAGGCGGCACAATACCGATGTCGACCGAGGTGCTGGTGCTCACCGGCAGCATTGCATGTCAGCGGTACAAGTCATTAAACCCAGCAGTGCTGAAGGAGATTTCCGTCACTGTGGAGAGCTTCTTGAACGACGATGCACATCCCGAGCGGCAAGCGATCGCGATCGAGCTCTGCCAGCAAGGGTTCAACATCTGGCAAAATTACGTCGATGCGATGGAGCTCGTGCGCGTCATCTTCTCGGTTGCGACAGCGACGTTGGACACGGGTGAGAGCACGGGCCTAGCGGAGTTACGGACGTCGGCGCGGCAAGCGACGCTGCAGATCGCACACGACAACACGCCTCTGTTCATGACGACATTGTCACACGACATCCTGCAAGCACGCTCGCCGGCGCACTGCAGCGCGACGATGCGGCTGGTGGCGTTCATGGTGCGGCGCAAGCCGCTGCTGCTGCATCCGAACCTGCCGCGCCTGGCAGAGGCAGTGGTCAAGTCGCTTGACCCGAATGCGACGACGATGCGGCGCGACCTGGTGGTACAGGCTGCGACGGTGATGATCAGCGAGCTGGTGCACTCGTACCCGTCCATCGCGTTTCATGGGACGCTGCAGCGCCTTGCGGTGGGCACGCACGAGGGCGCAGTGATCACATACGACCTCAAGACCGCGACAAGACTGTACGTGATCGAGGGCCACCGCCGGCCGGTGAGCGCGTGCAGCTACTCGCCCGACGGCAGGCGCCTCATAACGGTCAGCCTCGAGGAGGGTCGCGTTCTAGTGTGGAAGGTGGGCAGCAGCCTGGCATCGGTCTTTACACCCGGCAGCCTGCCGCGGCAGGGCGGCACGGACCGCTCCGGCGCGTACAAGGCTATCGAGTTTCACGTCGCGGGTAAGTGCCGACGCTGAGATTCCCGTGGTGGGTGTCCCTCCCACTAATACTAATCCCTACCCTATATTTTGCTTTGATTCTCCTCTCAATAGAACTGCCGCCTGAGGAAGAAATGTTTCGCGCAATCCGCTGCGACTGGGTCGGCGATCACTCTTCCGCGCGTGTGCAGGTTGGCGAGACGAGCTTGTCGTTCGATGCGATGTAGCCGTTGCTCAAGTGAAAGCAAACAATTCCTACGAGATATTGCACTGCGCGTTCTGGAGGGTGTGCTTCTCATTTTAGAATTTCGGCACGACGAGATACTGTCAAAAGGTCCGAAGATTCCTTGATCCGCTTGCCATCGGCAAACTCTCCACTACCCTCGTCGGTTCCATTTGGATCCACTTCCGACGGGACCTGCAAGCAGCTGAAGCTGCCACACACGGGGAGATAGTAGCGTATGTCACTTGAGCTGGCCAGTATTGAAAGCATGCCGTGCGCTCTGGTTTCAAGCATACTCTGGGTGGGTCGCGGGATACATCACGGAGCATCACGGACGAGAAGCGCAAGAATGACTACTGAGCATTCGGACACGACGATATGCAGCAGCTTATCCGCGGGAGCATTCCACGATTCTACACACATACAGCCCCCGGTTTTTGGTCGGTCAACCCAGCTTGTTTTATCGTCCTGCATTATCCTCTTTTGGCTAGCAGCGTGTTCGGGTCAAATTCTCACCTTCGGGGACGACATAAGTACGCCGTTGGAGCGCCGTATTCCCGACGGAAGGGAGGTTCTGGCGTCCATTGTTCTTGTTGCGAGGCGTGCTACAGAAACACACGGCGGGTGCATGTACGTATTTGACTTGTGACCTCGGCGCCTGCTTGGTGGTGAGGCGGGGCTGCGTTTGGCGGAGAGCGGTGAGATGCGCGATGACGTAATAGTACGCGCGGGCGTCAGTTCTGATTCTCCCCATTGAAGAGAGGGACAGAGAGAGAGGCTCGTGCTCGACATGTCGACGAAGACGGCGACGAAAGAGTGAAAGGTCAGATCAATGTGCAGTGCAGACCATTTTCTCCTCATTAAAAGAGGCGGCGAGAAGATGGTGTGTGTGAGAGTGAGAGCATACGACCTCCTCTAGGCCCCATTGCAGTGCAAGCTGCAGCTGTGGGTTCGTCGTCCGCTTGCCGCTTCCATCCCATGGGGAATCGCGCTGCGACTACCATCCATCAGAGGAGAGCCCCAGCTAGTACCTCCTTTTGTTCCCGGCCTATCTGAGCGGTTCACCCCCCCTACTTCATCCCCGTCGCTGTGACGGACAGGGCATAACAAGTCCATCGCGGCATGTCCAACAGCAATCCCTGCCAGGTGGAGCTTGGGATGCTTCTTGTATCGTAAACGGCGATTGTGCTTCAAATCATTGGAACCCAGCGACAGGCGGAAGAACGCAACACTGGCTGGACTTTCGAAGCAATCTCTGTTCATTCATCACCCGCCAAGCTTTCGACCAACAGCCAAACATGGCGACCTACGGCTACGGGTCTGGCTACTCGGACCGGCACCACGTGCCCACCGTGCAGGAGTACCGCGATGTAGAGGTAGCACGCGAGCGCGCAGCGACCAAGACCAACTCGTTCGCCAACCTGCCTAAAACCGCAGCAGACGAGCAAGCAGTGCCCGCTAGTCATCACAGCCAGCACGGCCAGCCTGCACCGCCGCTCACGACGCACTCGGATGTCACCAAAGGCGATGATGGGCTCAGGCAGAGGCACTCGCGCGCCAAAGGGGACGAAGAGGGCGACAACAAGACCGATGATGATGACAGCGCTACGATGACCGATCTGGACAATCTGGACAAGATCCCCCGCGAAGACGAACCAAACGGTGCCGATGGCGGACAAAAGGAAAAGGACCGCCTCAAGGCGGCTGCAGGTCCCAAGGACAAGCCCGCACATTTCAAGGCCAAGGGGACCAGGTGGGTGGAGCCCAACGATAGTAAGAGGAAATCGAAGGCAGCGATCTGACAAATCGCCCCTCCCCTTCCGACTGCCTTCAGGAAAGTCCGCGATCCAACAACGGGGGGCGAGGTGATCATCCGCGATGCAGGCAAACACACCAAGATTGACCCGAAGAAGCTCGACTCGCATTACCCGGGCGGTTTCTCCACGAACTTTGTCGATCCACAGAGCGACTGGCAGTCGAGCAAGTTCACTGCGCCGAACCCGACACAGCCGAGCAATGTGCTGCTGTACCCGTTCCCGCCAGCGGTCGAGTCGACGGGGCTGAAGCAGCTGCGCAGGACGTTCGACAGCCTCGCTCTCGCGCTCGCCACCAGCCTGCTGTTCACATGGCTTCTCGTCGCGTTTGGCGCAGGCTGGGTGCACTTCTTTCTGCGCACGGCCGTGCTCACCACCATCTGTGTCGGCGGCTGCAGCGCTCTCGGAGTCGCGGGCCGCCGCGTCGAGAAGGACATCGAGGACGTGCGGATGCACATGCACCGCGCGCGAGGCGAGGCATTCAGCCCGCCGATGCCCGAGAGCGTCGAATGGCTCAACGCGGCCATCGCGACGTTCTGGAAGCAGATCGACCCCGCCACGTTCGTTCCCATCGCCGATCAGGTGGAGGACGTGATGCAGCAGAGCCTCCCCGGCTTTATCGACGCCGTCAAAGTCGACGACCTCGGCATCGGCACAAACGCGTTCCGCTTCATCGCCATCCGCGGCCTCAGCGACCTCATGACCGACAAAGAGTATCCGCGCGAAGAATGGATCACACAGAGTAAAAGGGGGCAGGAAGACGGCATCTGCAGCAGCGGCAGCAATGGCCATACTGAAGAGCAAGACACCACTCCCGGCGACCTCGTCGATGTAGATAAAGACGGCGTCGCCGATGCCGACGAGTCAGGCGACTTCCTCAACTACGAAATCAGCTTTAGCTACAGCGCCCGTCCCGGCGCGTCCCGCTCCGACAACATCCATCTCATGATCGAGTTTTACCTCGGCGCCTATGGTGAGTGTCGGGTATTGGATCTTCCCTCCTTTCAAGCTTGTGCGGTCGCCAAAAATACCTTTTTGTTCTGGGGCAGACCTGTTCCAAATCCCGTTTCCGGTCTGGGTGCAGATCGAGCACATCTCCGGCACGGTGCGCCTGCGCTGCCAGGTCATCTCTGAGGCGCCGTACATCCGCAACCTGACGTTCAGCCTGATGGGCGTGCCACGCGTTGAGGTGTCGGTTGTGCCGATGCTCAAGGCGCTGCCGAACGTGCTGGACCTGCCGCTGATCAGCGGCTTTGTGCAAAGCTCGATCGCCGCGGCGGCCAACGAGTATGTCGCGCCGAAGAGCATGACACTCAACATGGCGCAGATGCTCGCGGGCGGCGGCGTCAAGAAGGACACGGACGCCATCGGCGTGATTGCTGTGCAGATATCGCATGCCGAGAACCTCAGCGCGCAGGACGCAAACGGAAAATCGGACCCGTATATAATCGCCTCGCTCGCCAAGTTTGGCAGGCCGCTCTACTCGTCGCGAATCATCTTCGAGGACCTGAACCCGGTGTGGAACGAGACATGCTTTGTGCTCATCACCAAAGACGACATCAAGGCCGACGAAAAGCTCTCGCTGCAACTTTGGGACTCAGACAAGCGCACCGCCGACGACATCATCGGCCGCGTCTCCAAGGACGTCGCCGAGCTCGTCAAGAACCCCAACAAGTTCCAAGAATGCAAGGACAAGCTGATGGGTTTCGAAGACGCCGACTCGATGCAGGGCTGTCTGCACTACAAGGTTGGCTTCTTCGAGAAGGCATCTTTCAACAAGGCCCTGATGGAATCGGGCAAGAAGGAGGACATGGAGAAGGTCAAGGCTGGCGCGGCCGATTCACAAGTGGATATTGACGCGCTGCATTGCCCACCCGACCCACAGTGGCCATGCGGCATCCTCAGCGTGCTTGTTGAACATATCGACGGACTCGAGAACCGCGACGTCGAGAAGGGATACATGGGCAAGGCCAGGGAGGGCACTGCCGGCCAGGACATCGATAATGAGGAAGGCCAGAAGAAGCTGCCGTGCTCGTACTGCGAAATCATCCTCAACGATGACATCGTCTACAAGACTAGGGTCAAGCAGTACACGGTTCGTGTCATGTTCTTCCTTTGCGGGATTTTCCGAACTTGTCACGCGTGACTGACTGCTTCCTCTTTCTCCTCATGGCTGACAGAATGCACCCTTCTTCAACGCTGGTCGTGAAATTTTTGTGCGCGACTGGACCGAGACGCGCGTGGCGATTTGTGTCCGCGATGCGCGCCTGCGCGAACACGACCCTATCATGGGCATCGTCGCGATCCCCCTCAAGGAACTGTTCAAGGATTCAAGCCAACTCTCGCGCAGCTTTAGTCTCTCGGACGGTGTCGCATTCGGCAAGATCCATCTCTCGTTCGTTTTCCGTAGCGTGCAGATGAAGCTTCCTAGGGCGCTACTCGGCAGCGACACGGCAACCGTCGAGCTGCTCTCGCCCATCACTATCAAGCCTGCCTCGCCCGAGTGGGAGTCCAAGCTGGCTGGAAAGAAGATCGTCGTGTCCACCGGCGACACCACGCAGAAGATTGACACGAAGAACCAGGATGTGGATGCGGTAATTCGCCTACCGGTCTACGACCGCTTCTCCTCTTCCCTCGCGTTCGACATTGGCCCAAGCGCGTCCTTCGGCCCGCTCGGCGGCAAGCCTGATGCTATTGCTGCCCAGTGGCTCTGCGACATTGTCGATAACGAGCAGACCGATCTCGAGATCCCCATCCTTGTCGGCCCCAACTTAGGTACGCTCAAGCGCAACTACATCAGCGAAGAGACACACAAGAACCACAAGTACGAAATCGTTGGCAAGCTGTGTGTGCGCATCATGGTCGATCCTGGCCTCGATCTCGACCACGAGAAGCTCGCCGTCGGCCAGACGGATCGTCACGAATTTGAGGTTTTCAATCGCCTTGAGGGGATGCCGAAGCGTGCAGAGATCAACTCGCATGCGAACCACGATGGCGTCATCGACCGAAACGAAAAGAAGGAGGTCAACAAGGCCAAGTCAGAAGCGCTGCGTGAGTGCTCGGTGACCGATGGTTTAACTGGCCACTCGTCTTTGGAATGCTGACACCGCCTTTGTTCCATTTCCCTGCAGACGCCCGCCACCGCGGCTCGTACGGCTACCAAGTTGTGCGCACGTCGGTCTGGGCGAAAGATGGCCTCAAGACACGCGCGCGTAACCTCTCGCTCAAACTCAAGGGCAAGAAGGACCGCGATCAGACGGTGGCTAGCGAGACATAGCTGTGCTTCTGACGGAGCATGCACAGCCTCACATGGCGCTTTCAGGCTCAGTTCCGACTCCAATTTGAATCATTCAAGCCGCATTTCGCATGTGTGTCCATTCAACCTGCATTATCGCAATTGTCTTGCCACCACCCTCATTATCGCATTGCCGACTGATTCACCATCTTGCGCTTCGCACGCGGGACGTGGCATTACTCCGCCAGGCAAGCGTAAAGACATGATCACACATGTGCTTCCACCGTTGAATTGACGGTACAACCTTCCCAAGTGACACAAGCGCCCAGATATCCGTGCATCCTTACTTTCTTATGATTTGGAACTCGAGACCCGTGCCAAAGGCCTGCACAAGGTCTTTTCTTGAGAGCTCTTGAACATCCTTGTCTTTGAAGCCGGCCCAATTGAAGGCCGGGTTGGGTAGAACGGGTTTAACTTCCCATCCGCCCGATCCTTGCAGCTGCTGCCGGCCTCGAGCCTCGTCTTGCCAGAGCCGAATAAACGAGTCGGGATCATGCCGCCACGGTGCTTGGGAATTTCCGCCCATGGCACCGGTACGGTGATGGCGCTCATAATGGCCCGCCTGGCCGGGCGGCATGCCAGACTGTCGTCCGAAGATTAGGCTACCCGGCGCATTCGACAGGAGGTTGGAGAGCGCTCTGGCGACCTGTGCTTGCGCATCTGCTCGGGTATAAGCCCGAAAAACCCGGCCTTGGACGTCAGCAGCTTGAATCTTCCAACGCATTATACTTTCTGACTCGCGGGCAAACTCACTCCATTCGAAGAGATGCAGGAAGGAGCCGATGTAGATGACATCGAAGCCTTGCCCCCCGTGGCTCAGCTCTTTGACTTTGTTCACATGGTCCTCGTCGAAAATGTCGCAATGCTCGAATTTGACGCCGTACATGTGGTCTTTGCCCTTCTCATCGGCGAACAGCTCGAACGAGTCTTCGACAAAGTCCAGCAACAGATCGGCCCCGACGATGCTCGTAGACGGCACGCCGTCCTGGATCCAAGCACGGATGTCCTGAGCGTATCCGCAGCCCATGTCGAGGATCCGACGTGTGTCCGGCTGCTGCTTGATGCACTCGATCGCTTGTGTGTATACGGGATTTTCGCGAGAGCCCGGCTCGAGGAAGCGATACAGTCCCAGGCAAGGGTAGGAGACGCGCGCGTACACGTCATCGCGACATTTCTTGACGTGCTTGGCGAGCTCTTCGTCAAAAAGCGATAGAGGAAATCGGGTCGGACTAGTGAATTCAAAGAGTGCCCGAGTTGCGGGCTTGAACGGGAGCGGCGGTTCTTCATAGTACAGCGTTAAGGCGCGCCCACTCATCTTGAATGACGTCTCGCGGATCTTTCAAGGGAACTTGAATGTTTCATTTCCGGACTTGGTCCAAGAGGGCAGTTGTGGTACTCCGAACGGTCCAGGGCCAGTAGGAGACAATGTCATTCACATTGTATACGGTGCAGGACGTAGTCTTGCAATCAAAAAGGCGAAGCTGCCAGGCCAACCATCGTGCTATTCCAACTGAGGATAGATTTGTCGGCGCTAAGCTGTGCTGTGCGCGCGGATCATTGCCGCCGCCCCGCGTTAATATGTATGTTCACTGGACTGGTGTTGGGTGTAGCATAGGCCATGATGGATATAGATATATATACATGAATAGGGTTGCGTCTGCATCTCAGCCATGGCAAAACAATAAACAAAGTGGCTCGAGCCTGCCCCCAGCCGCGCCGACACAAAAAATGGGCAGCGCATCCACTCACCAAAAAGCGATGGCGCATTGTTAGGACCAACAATGGTGCACAAAAGATTCGACGTGAACAGGATTCGAACCTGTGCGGGCAGAGCCCAAACGCTGTCATCCACTATGGACTAGAACGAATTCTAGGCGTTCCCGATGACCACTCCGGCATCACGCCTGTTATATTATTGAACATAGATAGCACATTATTACCAGGAATGATAAGAAAACTAAAAAGAAACGACGTGAACAGGATTCGAACCTGTGCGGGCAGAGCCCAAACGCTGTCATCCACTATGGACTAGAACGAATTCTAGGCGTTCCCGATAACCACTCCGGCATCACGCCTGCTGGATCAATGCATTACCTAAGATATATAACCCCTTCTTCTATGATTGCTTTCAAAAGGGATGAAAAATACGGCTACCTTTCTGTTCTATTCGACCCAAAGATCACGCGACTGACATGTTCCGGCAGTGGATACAAAATTCGTTATTCGTCACAATTTCCATGAGACTGCAAGCCGCAGCAAAGATCACTGTACGGCGGCAGTCCAACTACGTCGCCGAGATACTGCTCCTGCCAAAGATCTTCTCCAGGTTCCTAGCACGTCCCGCAACTTTGCGGCCGACTTGTGTGACACACCCTTCTGGTGCGGCAGCATGGCGGTCGCTGATCTGGTTGCCCTCAGCCGATGTCTTTTCGTACAGCTGCAGCGCCGTGTACAGGTCGAGCGAGGCGAGTACAGATGGCGTAGCTGGGCGAAGCAAAAAGAACGGTTAGGCGAAATGGAAAGGGTTGCGGCAGGGCAGCGGCATACACCGATTGCACCATCGATGTCGCCGGACTCACCTTTGTTGCGCTGAGCTTGGTCGGCTTGCAATGAAGCCAACGTGGGCAGCGAGCCATCGTTGACCAACTGCAATTGTCCATCTTTCCACACAAGCAGTTGAACATCATCCAGCCTCTTGCTGCTACTGTTGATGCTGCCGCTACTGCCCTCCACGCTCCTCGACTCGTGCCGAACATCCAATGCGATGAGTACATGTTGCAACTGGATGTCCTTCTGCACATGCACATGCAGGATCGGCCTTGGCATCTGGATCACTTGGAGGCCCTCAGTACTCGAAGCGAATATGGACTTGAGAGGTAGAACGAGCAGAGCTGAGCTCGCTTCTGTGCAGAGAAGGACGTGCGTGGGCACACCATGCCCAAGCAACTCGAGTTGGGTGATGGCCAGCTTGCTTTCCTCCTCTTCTGCTCTCGGTGCTAGCGCACTTTCGTCCTCTGCATCCTTCGAGACGGCTTCAGCACCATTCATGACGCTGTCATCGCCTGCGCCTGATGGTTCCACTTGATCACCGGCCCTTGATCTGCACTGATCTTTGCTATTGCCTTTGCTTTTTCCCTTGCCTTTCCGATCCGAACCAGTTGCATGCTTGGGAAACCTAACAGCCATTGGCAGCGCCTCTTTCCGTACATGAGGTGCCAGCTGGCGATCAAGCTCGACGTAGCCAATGCACTGCTTTTGCACGTCCTTTTCCATGTAGTCCCAAACTCGCAGAGTGGTCCCCCCATCTGAAGAGAGCAATGCCCACGGGTTTATATGTCTCCCGTCTGCTTCTCGTGTTTGCGGGACGACTTGCAGTGCACCAACGAAACTTCTGCTACCATGCAAAAAGTTCTCAATCACCCAGCCTGCGCGCTGAGTCCCCCATCGCGACACGCGAATGTGCTCATCACGATCAGAAGTGATGATCAGAGCCGGCGAAGTTGAAGGGTGAGATGGAAAAGGAGCCAGGGCGAGGTCGCAGATTGTGCTTACATGGCCTAGTCGTGGGCGAAGGCATGCTTCGGCGGTAGATGGATCTTCGTCGGTAATGCCTTTTGAGCGTGAAGATCCATCTCCGCCCTCCCTGTGCTGTCGCTTGTGACTCGGCGCGCCTCCGTTGTTTTGCGCCAACGTCGCCTGCAGCGAGTCGGTCTGGAGAGAGAATCTATAGAGCGGGCATGTGGCGCGGGTCTATCTGTCAGCGACCCAAGTAAAACTGCTTAGCCATAATGCTAGGATTGACTCACACTCTGACATCGCCGTGTCTATCAGCGACGATCAGGTGTTCGTTATCTTCCCACCGCAGGACAGAGGCGCGCTTTGGTATATGCTGAAGTAACACCTCTTTGCCGTACGCAAAGCCGCTCCCTTCACCTTCCCCACCGGCATCAAACTTCCATATACGAAGAGTCTTGTCATCGCCAGTGAGTGCGACACAGTTGCCTTCTGGCGAAAACGCTGCGACGCGAGGAAAGGCGAGGGGAACCAAGGGGGGCGAGCAAGCCGAGTCCGTTTTGTTGCCGCTGCCCCCTTTCTCCGGCTTTAGGTCGCATCGCAACTTGGAGCACAGTTTCGGCTCTTGCTCTGGGTCAATTTTACAGCTGTACAGACTAGCGGAATCTGCTGTCAGCGTAAGCAGCCAGCGGTGCTTGGTCCCATCTGTTGCGAAGGTGACAGGACAGGAACTGCAGATGTGATGCACGGGAAGCGGCTCCATGCCGTCGCTCTTTCTTTGCGCTGCCATGACTCCTGCTGTGCGAGATGACTGCTCCTCTTGTAAGCGACGCGACAGACGATAGGTCCAAGAAAAGCTTGTGTGAAGGAATGCGGGAGGTGACAGATGTACAGCATTGGACGTTGCAATGGGGAGGTGTTGAGGCTACGCGGAACACGGAACTGGGGCGCAATCTTTTTTTTCGAAGCATCACTCCAAGTATGCGCAGACTACTGAACCTGCTGGACTCGGAGATGGACGATTGGGACGGCAATTTGCACATCCTACATGCTTGTCTTAAGCAACAGAGGCGATTGTGGTGGTGTTGGATCCTTCGTCATTACTGCTGGATAATTTGTTGTGCGTCGGCGAGCTGAAATTGTGCAGCAGAGGCTAGTCCGATCCCCAGATCATCAGCAAAGCGTGCCGTCATGGTCAGCAGCACACCAAAGCAGCAGGCCAAGTCGCCCAAGGGCATTGCTCAACGACCCAGCTCAAAGGCTCATCCGCGCAACACGCGCAACGAATCGAACAAAGAGGTGAAGGGAAAGGGGAAGCGCAAAGAGGCAGGCGAAACGTCGTCGAAAACTGCCGGTGCTACTCTTCTTGCTGGGCAGAGGATGAATGGAGCGGGCCCATCGGTCGCTGACGCGGCAACGGGCGAGACCTATGTGAGATGCCTACCCACGGCGTTATGTGTGCGGGTTTCATTTGCACCCTTCTAATTCGGGTTGTTTTGCGGGAACAGAAGTCACTCTCATCGATTAACGATTCGTTTCTTGAGCTGCTCTCTTACATTCCCGCCAAGTACTACTTTCCTCAATCCGGGTTTGCTGGTGCCGAAGAAGAAGAAGAAGATGATGCATCTCAACCGGGGAACGGTCAGCTCAGCAAGAAAGAAAGGAAGAGGCTGAATGCAGAAGAACAAAAGGCTGCCAAGAAGGAGAAGGCAAGGGAAGCCAGGATGGCCAAGGTGTGTCCACGTTTCTCTCTTCGTAAGGGGTTCACCAATTTGGTTAATCTTGAGCTCGCGTTTTACAGCTCGACCCTGCGAACCAAAAGTCCATCCCAGAGCTCCAAGCTGAACGAGCCGCTGCAGCATCCGCCACGGTTGAAGCAACTGCAGCAGACGTATCGGACATGGTCGACCTGGACATGGACTTTGAGCAGGATGATGGCCAAGGCGACGATGACGATGACGAGGGTGACGATAATAATGACGAGGAAGTGGGTGGTGCGGGGGATACCGACAACGACATTGAGGACAGCGATGATGAGGATGACAGCCATGAAGCGCAAATTGCTCGGGCGAGAAAGCGAAGCGGGGACGATAGCATCAATGGCTCCACGCCGGCAAAAAAGCGACATGCTGGGCAGGGCGACGAAGCCTCTTTGCCCAAGCCGGCAGAAGATACATCAGCCTCCATCACAGACCTTCGCGTAAAGCTGCAAAAGCGCATCGCTGAGCTGCAGTCGAAGCGCAGGCAACCTCGGCACGGCCCCAATGCTGAGGCACTGGGGCCAAACGATGGAGGCGGGGACGATAGTGGGGCGGAGGAAGGAAACGATAGCACTCTATCAGCAAAGTCAGACCTCCTCCTCGAGCGGCGCAGACAGCGGGGTGAGATGCGCGATCGAAGGCGCCGGGAGCGCAAGGAGGCCAGGCGAGCGGAGAAAGAGGCCGGTGCAAGTGCGGTCAAGGGGAAGGATGCTAACGGTGCGGCTGCTCGTGCAGCGGGCAAGCAGGTCGGAAACGGCAGCAGTGCCCCTGCACTGCTTGTCAACGAGAATGGCCGCTCAAGCACCAGCTCAAAGGCGGCGGACGGCGAGGCAGCCGCGAGATTGGACGCGTTCAACATTGACACCAATGGCGCATTCACTTTCGGCAATGTATCATTCGCCGGACCAGGTGAGGGCGAGGAAGAGGCTCTTTTACGCAAGAAGAAGAGCAAGCACGCACTGCCGCGAGACCCCAAAAGTGCGCTCGCCGTGTTGGAGGCTCGCAAAGCCAAGGATGAGAAACGCAAGGCACGACAGAGCGAGATGAGCAGCGCGGAAGGTGATGATGGCAACGATGGAGCCGAGGACGACGGAGTCATGCGCAGCGATGACGCTGCCAAGTGGAGCAAAATGATGGAGGCGACCCAAGGAATCAAGATCCGCGATGACGAGCGGATGCTCAAAAAAGCAGTAAAGAAGAAGGAGAAAATGAAGGAGAAGACCAAGACGAGCTGGTGAGCAAACATTTTCTTTTCTGAATTTGTGGTCTCTTCTCCGCACTCGGCTAACCTTTCTTCGACGATGCTCATCTTTCTAGGAGCGAGCGCGTGAGAGAGGTGGCAGACCAGCAAGCTGCGCGCGCCAAGAAGCGCAATGACAACATTGCCGCGCGGAAAGAGGCAAAGCTGGCAAAGCACAAGGGTGCAAATGGAAAGAAGGCGAGCTCGACCAAAGGCACAGGGAGCAAGAAGAAAAGCAGCGCAAAAGCTCGACCAGGGTTTGAAGGTCGCGCGATGGGCTTGAAGAGCAAGGCCGGAGTAAAGGGAAGGAGCAAGGGGAAGCGCTGAGTGCCAGTGTACATGCAGCCGGAGCCACAGGCTGTACAAAATGGACGATATGCTATGAGGCGCCTCGCAGAGCTTCTACAAATGAGACTAGTCGTTGTCGGCCAAGCCCTCATTGCGCCGCATCCATATTACCGCCAGCTGGGGTAGTATCTTCCTCTTCCTCTTTATCAGGGTTCTCGCCTCCGTTGCCCCCTTGTTCACTGTCGTCGCTTTGTGATTCTGCTTGCGCTGCGCACCGCAAAGTGTCTGCTTCAGCATCTGGCCAGAGCCAGATATATGAGCTGCCGCAAAAAGCTTTAGCGTCAGTTCTAGGCTTTCATGCCGACAATTCGGGAGCAACTCACGCCTGGTCAAATCGAGCAGGTTCGACGATCGCGGGTGCGACTCTATGGCGACTAAGCTCTTGCTTCTTGGCCTCGCTGTCTGCGCCGACCGCCTCTTTGACCGGGTCCGGTTTAGGCAGCTCCCATCCGAGCTTGGTGCAGAGGTACTGGACGACCTGGTCGCTGCTTCCCAGCAGCATGATGTCCGTCTGGAAGTGCAGAATGGGCGTTTTGTTGATGAGTATGACGGGGATACGGTGTGGCATGTAGGTCAGGAGCTCGGCAACAGGTGCCACTTGCAAAGATGTGCCCATGACGATGATCAGGTCCGCGTGTGGGCGGTCGGCGTTGAGTGCATTCTCGAAAGAGCTGTCGAGTTTCTCGCCAAAGAATGTTATGTCAGGCTGCGGTGGAAGAGACGTTGAGCTTGAAGCGGCGCATGGTCCCATCAAATATCGCTTACTTTCATCACACCAAGACCAGGCAAGGCATCGTCCTCTTCATCGGGATCCTCTTGGTCCTTCCAAGAAGCCCCACCGGTCGTCTTTTGTTTTTTGCTCCTGCCTTGCTTCGAGCGAGCATCTTGCTTTCGCTTCTGGCAAACACGGCATTGAGGGACATCCTGCTTAAAGATCGCATCTTTGATCTCCGATCCTTGGACTTTGTGCCGACAGGCGGGGTCCGTACAAGTCGCAGTCGCAAAGGAACCGTGACAGTGCAGCACACGGGTGATACCTGCTGCTTTCTCAAGCGTGTCTATGTTCTGATTCCCGCAATTGATGAAGATTTGGAATATAAGCAACCGTCGGTGTACCGCTGTCGTCCACGCCAGAGTCTCACCTGCGTATAGTTGCGTAGCAGCTTCTCCTTATCTTCTAGGAGCTTTATGAAGCGATGCGAGGGTGAGGGCTTGAAATTTGAGGGGAAGATCGAATGTCTGTACAGCAAGACCACCATCAACCTCCAGGTACTGCAGCCCGTGCCAGGCATTGCACGTACGCAAAGTCGAAGAAGACACTGGGCTGTTGCATAAAGTACTCCTTGTCAAACCTGTCAGTGCGCAAGGACGTTCAGAATCCCTCTTTTCAAGCATTGTTCGACGTGCTCACATGTTCTCTGGCTCGTCCAAGTCGTACTTGCCCGCTAAGCTCGCGTAGATCCCATCGCGACTTCGAAAGTCAGGTATCCCACATGATACCGAGATGCCAGCACCCGTTAGGACAACAATATTACGTGCTGTCTTGATGAGATTGACGGCGTCGTCAGGCGTGTTGTATTGCGCAAGACGTTCCCGTTGACGGAGGCTATGGTGACTGTCACGATCAGTTGATACTATTCATCGCACAAAGCGAGCACTTACAGCCTGATTAAGACTGCCTTCAAGACAGGAACGAGCGCTTCGACTGGCACATCGGAGTCCCTCAATTCCTTTGGCTGCTCATCGGTTAACATTAGCACCCACTGATGATTTAAGCTGAGGGCCATCAGCGCTCACGAGCAGTACCCCGACGGCGATCAAGAAATGTTGGATCTGTGAGGATGGCTTGCTTTGTCAACATGACTTCAATCAGAAAGCATGCATCGAGCGCCCAAACTTGCTAGTCACATTAAACTTTTTGCCAATGACATGATGCTGCACCCAGCCCCTGATTCCGAGCTCTTGCACACTGCGTTTGAGCTCCTTGATGCGTTCTTCTGGGAAAGCTGCCTCGGCTGTCCAACGCAAGAAGTGCACGCTCAGCGTCCATCTCGACTGGCCTTGCGCAGCGCCTCAGACTGCCCACCTTCATCGATGAGAGCTTGCAAATCAGCATCCTCCAATTCCTCCTGCAAGCATGAAAGCTACGGTGTCAGAATCAAGGTGTTGCCTGCATGGCGGGACTGCAGCAACGGAATGCGACACCAACTTGCTCGGCTGCTTGTTCGAGCTCCTCCAGCTCATCCGAATCAATTTCTGAGGCGGGCATATTTCACAGCGATCAGGTTGCCAATTCGCCCACTTGTTCGGCTCGAAGAACGAGTTTGGTGGACGGAGTGCCGGTCTCGAGATATGGCATGTGCAGCGATGGCCGAGGAGAACAACACGACAAGAGATGAGCAGACGCGTCTCGCAAAAGGCTGGCCGCTCGCTGGAGACGCGCCTCACAACTCAAAGAGCTTATCATCGGCGGGCTCCAACAACGATTAAGGGACGATCCGGAGGCCTGCAGCCGATTGAGAGACAGTGGTATTGGATGTGTAGAAATACAGGCGACTAGTCTATAAAAGTACAGGTAGCAATGCCAAGATGTGATCACCAAGGTAAGAGGCAAGAAGCACGTGTGGCTTCTTCCACCCTCACGCCGACGGCGGTATCCGACTTGCGCCGCTACCACTACTGCCGCCACCGCCGAGCAAGCCTCGCCAGCCGCCAGATCCACCGGCAGCGGTGGCGGTGTCCATCATCGACCCTCCGACTTTGGTGACGACGTTGGCAAACAGGCTTGACGCGGCGCCGATCGCGCCGCCCGTCGAGGCGCTAGCGCTGTACGCCTGCATGGCCCGATGGACGATCGTCGCGCCCGTCTCGGGGATCTCGGTGAGACCCTCAGCGGCGACTTTGCGCTTGCAGCTCTCCATGATCGCCGCGACGTCGGAGCGCTCCAGGTCGTCCCGCTGCCGCCAGATGTGCTCGACAAAGGCGAGCTGTGGGCCATGCGCCTTGGCGAAGCTCCAGTAGGACAGGAAGGCCATGGTCGACGATGCGGTGAGCAGACCGATGCTGTTTGGAAAAAAAAGGTTGAGCACACGTTAGCTGCTGGTCGTTGCAAAATTCGAGGAAGCGCACGGCGTGCGGACTCACATCTGATTGAGCACCTCTAGCTTCTCCTTCATCTCCTCCTCGCGCCCGTAGCCGGTAAAGAGCGTCATGACGTCCTCGGTGTCCTGGCGCATGCGATCCGCAGCGCCAGGCATGCGCAACCTGGAGCACTTGCGCAGCGATCCAATGTACGCGAGCAGGAAGCGCTCGATCATGTCGTCCTGCAGCACCTCGAACAGGTTCGGGTTGAGGTGCGACGCATAGTCCTGTGAATAGTCCCGAATCGTCTCGGTAATGAGCGTGGTAGTACCCTCAGCGTACCAGCTGCCATCATCCGTGGAAATGGAAGCCAGGTGGAGTGTGAGCACGTAGAAAGAAAAGGGGAAACAGAAACCAATACAATGACCACTCACGCAGGGAACTGGAACAGCTCCTTAACAGCCGGGCGGAGATCGGCAAAGACGAGCTCGACGAGCACTTGCGTGCAGCGCTTGCTGACGTCGAGGAAGCCGTTGATGGCATTGTCGATGGCCTCCCTAATCTGCACCTTGTACTTTTGGCTGACGAGTGGCTCCATGCGGTTCTGCAGCGCCTCGGCGTGATCGGCGCTCTTGAGTTGGTCATTGGCGAGCGCAATGACGTACTCGACCAAGCCGCCGACGATCTCGTCCGGGTTCTTGGCCTCGTACTGTTTCTTGAATTCGCTCTCTAGAACGCGCATCCACGTCGCCTGGCAATTTGCCATCGCCTTGCACGCATGGTCGATTGCGCGCGTCAGGATTGAGCCCTGCCCGCTGTCGGCGGCGAGGTCCATCTGCTGGTTGACCATCTGGAAGAGGATGACGGCGCCTTGCATGCCGTACAGCCCCTCGGTGTCCTCGTCCGGTGGGTTCTCGCGTGCGACAAACGCGCGCACCTCGTCCGACATGAGGTTCGCGCTCCACTCGTCGATCTTCTTGATGATAAGCGAGAGGTAGTCGTCGATGATCTCCTGCTCCTTGCCGCCGAGCAGCGACGGCTTGAGCCAGTCTACATCGACGCCAAGCTCCTGCTTCATGGTTGACTCGTACTCCTTTGTGAACTGGTACAGCGTCAAAAGCGACGACGCTTCCGGGTCCGTCGCGAGGATGCGGTCCTTGAGCATGGTGCCGAGGATCTTGTGGTACGCCTTAACGTACCAGCGGAAGATGTTGTAGTCCTCCGGGAAGAGCGGAGCGATCTCTTCTTTGACCAGCTCTAGGTCCTTGTAGATCCAGTCGAGATTGTTTAGCAGGCCCATGGGGTTCTCTGCGGCGAAGCGGTTCCATGCCTCTTCGAAGAGCTCCTTGGCTGCGCGCTCCATGCCGCCGAGCACCTTTGGTCGGTAGAGTTTGATGACGCGCGCGTTCGCCACGACCGACCGGAAGCGCGAGGCGCCTTCCAGGTTGGCCTTCTTGGCGAGCCGGATCGCTGCCGCCTTCTCATCCTCCTTGCTCTCCTTGTCTACGATCTTGAGGACCTTGACAACGACGTTGGTCCTGCCTTCTCGCGCGAGGTCCATGATGTTCCTGCCGAGCGCAAAGAGATGCTCTTCGAATGCCTTGACGAGGTTGTCAAGCGGCGCAAAGTAGTCGGCGATCTGGTTCTGGACGTCGGCCGCGGCACTGCGCCGTGCCGTCTGGACTGTCTCGTTTCGAAAGGCCTCCAGCTTGGACAGATGGAAATGGAGGGGCAAGAGATACGTCGCTGGACCCATGGCGTCCTCCTGGTCGTGCTCGAGCCAAACAGACAGCTCGTCGACCTGGCCCGGCAGAGCCGAGAGCTTTTGGAGCATGGTTGCTGTCTGGACAAAATTGCGATGGATCTGCGAGACCTCGGTGATGATGGCGAACGCCTCGGCCCCTTTGGTCTTTGCGCCGCGGCTGTCGGCGCCGTCTGCGAGCGCTTCGATCTCGGCAAACGCCTCACGGATGCCAGCCATGTCCTTCTTTGTGGCCTGAAGTTTGAGAAGTCCCTCGCGCGTCGCCTCGAGCTGCTCCTTAGCGCCGGACTTAAGCTTGGCGTCGAGGGTGGCCTGCTCCTTGAGGAGCTTCTTGCGCAGCGCGACGATCTTGCTAAGGTCGTCGGGCGACTTGAGGTGCTCGGCGACAAAGTTGGACGTGGACGCTTGCGCTTGTGCGGTGGCGGCTGCAGCGAGCGACATGCTCGACAGCCCGCCGGCGCTGGCGAGGGACGGCGAGATGGGCAGGTGAGCGGTGGTGCTCGTGACAGGTGTGGTGTCACCGTTGCCGCTGGGCTTGCCATGGATTCCGCCGGCGGGAGACGCCTGGGCCAGGGGCTTGACTGCGACGGTGAGGTGGTTTGATTTGGCGCTGTGGCTGTGGCTGGAGCCGGAAAGGGAGAGCGGCAGGGAGGCAGGCATGCTCGTCGGCAGCGCCGACCACAGGCTAGTCATAGCTGGTGGGAGGGGAGGGGGGACAAGCGTGGGTGGCCCAGCGTACGACGACAGTTGACTCGCGCCAAGGGGGAGCGATGCCGCTCGGGTCGCGCGTGCGCATGCGCGTCGCCGTAGTCGTCTGCGTCGTGATCACTGGGCCATGCTGTCGTGTGGCCTGGGTGTGTCCTGCGAATCTGCTATGGTATGCTATGGCATACCATAGCATGTTGCTCTGATGGTACCGTGCCAGCCATGCAGTCCTGTGTGCACAACCCTAATGAATGTGTAGCGACTTAACCCTAATCTATTCATCCCCATAAAGGAAGGAGATGGAGGAGATGGAGAGTGAAAAGCGGCGCACAGCGGAGAGCTGCGATGTGTGCAGTATCTATTGGTAATGGTGTATGAACGACATGATAAGATACGTTCCCCCGCATTTCGGGCGGATACTTAGGTGGATAGCCTCCATCCACATCCCCCAGACATGTAGCAGCAGCAGCCATGAAGGTCGAGCAGGGCTTCCAGCAGCGCCCCTTCGATCTCGGTGACCCCTGGTCCCGCGACCCGGCCTTTCGCGCCGTCGTGCGCCGTCTGCTCGCACCGGCACCGCCAGCGCTGTCCGCCCAGCACATCTCGCAGCGCCTCAGCGCATTCTCCCTCCGTGTTGCCACACAGGCACGCCCCTGGTCCCACCCGGGCCGCTGTGCAGACCCCGTGTTGGTCAACTGTGACAACTGGGGGCGCAGGATCGACCGTCTCGAGACCAGCGAAGGCTGGCGCAGGCTCACGCAGTGGAGCGTCTCCAACGGTCTCATCGGCGAGGCCTACGGCCCTAAGGGTCAGGAGCAGTACCTCTGCAGGAAAGAGTACGACAGCGCCGGTGGTAGGGAAGCCCTCGGTGGATAGTGAGTGTTTGCTTTTCGTACGCGCAAAAGCCCGCCCTCCACGACCTGATTGACTCTTCCCACACCGGGTTTCAGCGCCCGTCTGTACGCATTTGCACGTACCTACCTTTTCGCGCCCGACTCACGCGTCAACGTATGCCCGACATCCATGCAGGATGGCGCCGTACGCACGCTCGAGCTGTACGGCACGGACGAGCAGCAAGCCACATACCTGCCCCGCTTGCTGTCGCGCGACGTCGAAACCGTCTGGATCGCTGGGCAGTGGATGACCGAAAAACCCGGCGGCTCCGACGTCGCGCAGACCGAGACGAGGGCGACGCGTCTGGAGAGCCTGGCCAGCGCCTCTTCAGCGACGACGGCAGCCCCCATGCAGCCTGGCAAGCCGGGCGACCTCTACCTCCTCGACGGCTTCAAATGGTTCTCCAGCTGTCCGGACGGCAACATGGCGCTCGCGCTTGCGCGCACCTCGTCGTCCGCCTCAGGCGCCGGCTCCGCGGGCCTGTCTCTCTTCCTCCTCCCGCTGCGCAAGTCCGCCCGCCGCCCGATCCCTGCGCACCTGCAGCGCTTTGTGCCGGACAACAACCCGCACAACGACTACAACGGCATCCGCATGCATCGCCTAAAGAAGAAGCTCGGCACTGAGCTCGTCCCGACCGCTGAGCTCGAGCTCGATGGCGCCATCGGCGAACTGATCGGCCATGAGGGCCGCGGCGTCTTCTACATTGCCTCGGTGCTTAACCTGACGCGCCTCTACTCGGCCTCGGGCACGTGCGCCGCCATCAGCTACGCGCTCAACATCGCCACCGACTACGCCGGCCGGCGTCGCGTCAACGCGACGCACGACGCACCGCGCGGAACACTGCTTAGCGAAGTACCCATGCACGTCGAGCGTCTCGCCCGCGTCAACGTCACGCACCGTGCGCTGCTGCAACTCGTCTTTGGCACCATCGCGCTGCTCTCCCTCTCCGAGGCCCGCCGCGCGACGCCGGAGCAGGATGTCCTTCTGCGCCTCCTCACGCCCATCGCCAAAGCGTTCAGCGCTCTGCGCGCCACCGAGTGCTACGTGCAATGCATCGAGGCGCTAGGCGGCCAGGGCTACATGCAAGAGTCCGGCCTCGGCGACGTCCTCAAGAGCGCCACCGTCGAGCGCGTCTGGGAGGGCACGCCAAGCGTGCTCAGCCACGACGTCAAGCGCGTCCTCGTCAAGAGCAAGGGACTCGCGCTCGTCGTCTGGCTCCACAGCGCCAGACGCGCGCTCAACACCGCAGCGGGGGTAACGGCGCAGGAGCGCTTGCAGACTGTCAAGCAGGTCGCCCAGGCTCTCGACAAGGCACTCGATGCCGTCGCGTTCGCCTTCCTCACCAACAGCAGCAACAACAGCGACGACGGCAGTCCCCAGCTGACGCAGCTCGTGCACGACGGCCACGCGAGCCGCGCGCTGCTCGAGGTCATCGGGGTCGTCCAGTGCGGCATCGGCCTGCTCGAGCAGGCCGCGTGGTCTTCCTCTTCGTCTTCGTCTTCGAATTCTTCGCACAGTAGCGAGCATGATGCTGACGACGCGCGCACCGACGTCGAGGTCGCGCGCAGGTGGGTCCTCGGCGCAGAGGGCGGCCTACCCGAGGCGCTGCGCGAGCTCGGGGACGTCCGCGAGCGCGTGTTGGCTTCCAAGCAGGACGCTGTGCTGACCGCTCAGGAGCTCACCAAGCGCATCGTGTTTGATGGGCGGCGAGAGGCTGGCCAGCAGGAGCAGGAGAAGCGCCAGAGCAGCGATGATCAACTCGAGCTTGTCACCTGTAGCGCAGACGCGCTTCGGCGCAGCTGGGCCCCCAGCGTAGAGCTTAGCACTCGCACTCGCTCACGGTTGTAATCTGTAACAGCGGCAGACAAGCTTGTCTCTGCACATGTGTTGTATTCTTGAATCTGCTCTTGTTAATTGCGGCGATGCAATCTCTTGCGTAATTGCCAAGTGGGCACTGGAGGACTCGAGGTGGGCAGCACATCAAAGGTTGGTGATTCCCCCACGGTATGGTCAGTATCACACTTCGTTGTATACCGCCTCTCCCTGTTCGATCCTCCGCCACATTCTTCGAGTCACAGGCGAGGATCCCAAAACAAGTAGGATACCTATCGCTTCTTTCGCATGACATGATGGACGCGAAGCTCGAGCGTAGGGTCGCCCTGCCGACGCGAAACGGTTCCATCGCCCATGCTGGCGGCCGTGATGGCAAGCAACGCGCTTTCCGCCTGATGCGTGGCCTCCTCGTTGCTTTTATTCTCATCGCCAGTCTGCTTCACTTCTGGCAGCCCCGCGAGCCGCAGCCTACGCATCGCAGCAGCCACAGGAGACCGTCTCACGGCTCGCGCAAGCTGTGTCCGCAGCACCCTCCCTTCCAGCACAGGGTTGCCGCACCTGGCAATCTCAAGCAGCCGTCGCGCCAAGAGCTCGCGCACCGTCTCTCTGGGGCGGTGCAGGTCGACACATCCGTCTCAGACGAGTGGCCGCACGTCAAAGATGACCCGGAGCGCTGGGCCCGCGTTTTCAGCCCCTTCCGGGCGTACCTGGAACGCACTTTCCCCACGATCCATGCTCCCGGCTCCAAAGTATCGCGCACCCTCGTCAACGAGCACGGCCTGCTGTTCGAGTGGCCCGGCGCCGACCCGTCTCTCAAACCGCTTCTTCTCATGGCACACCAGGATGCGGTGCCTGTCGAGCCCACAACGATAGACCAGTGGACGCATCCTCCTTTCAGCGGATACTACGACGAGCAGAATGGGTTGATTTGGGGGCGCGGCGCTGCTGATACCAAATCAACTATTATCTCCATCCTCTCCTCCGTGCAATCCCTTCTCGAATCCGATTTTACCCCGAATCGAACGCTGGTCGTCTCCTTTGGCTTCGACGAGGAAGCTGCGGGCACCGAAGGTGCCCTGGCGCTCTCGACCTTCCTCGAGCACAAGTACGGACCGAACAGCATGGCGATGATCGTTGATGAAGGCGGATCCGTCACCCCGGCCGATACCAAGACTGGCTCTCCTGCCGTCGCAGGCCCTGCCGTCCGCGAAAAAGGATACCTCGATGTGAGCATCAAGGTCAAGACCCCCGGCGGGCACAGCTCGGTACCGACGCCGCACACTTCTATCGGCATGCTCAGCGCGGTAATTGTCGCGATGGAGAAGCAGCCGCACAAGCCTGTGCTGCGCACGGACAGCCCAGCCTGGAACCAGCTCCTCTGCGCTGCGGATGCAGGGAATACCTCCCCCAAACTCACTCGCGCTATTCATGTCATCCTCGATGCGCAAGACGAGCTAGACGCTTTGTCTGCCACGCCTCGCAACGGCGGCGGCTGCCCTCAAAAGGCGATGCACCGTGTCACAGCACTGCAAACACGGTTGAAAAATGCAAAGAAACGCGTTTTGAAGCTAATGGACCCGATCGAGAGGGTGGCGTTCCAGACCACACAGGCTGTCGATCTCATCAAAGGCGGGGTGAAGGTGAGCCTACATTCCCTTCTCACACGTTGCATCATTTTTTAAAAATATACTGACTGCCCGCTCGCACGCACATGTGCCAGATCAACGCTTTGCCGGAGGAAGCGACCGCGGTCGTCAACAGCCGCATCGAGCCTGGTACGCCTGTGCAAGAAATCCGCGAGCGCACCGCACGCATCGTCGCACCTGTTGCCCGACAGATGGGCCTGAACCTCGATGCCTGGGGCCAAGAGCGTCTGAGCTTCCGCCTAGACCCCACAAAGGCAAAGGGCACGATCGTTCTCTCGGACGCGTTTGGAAGCGGACTAGAGCCGAGCCCGGCTACGCCACTCAACGGCGAGGAGGCCAAACCGTGGCGTCTGCTCAGCGGTGTTATTCGCGCTACGTGGGACGCGTCTGACGCAGATGCATCGCAATCGACTTCAGACGGCATCACCGTTGTGCCGACGCTCATGGTTGGCAACACGGACACATCACGTTACTGGCGCCTCACGCGCCACATTTTCCGCTTTTCTGCTGGCACACTCAAGCTTGAGCCAGAGGGCACAGGCGCCAAGACTCCATTCGGCGGCATTCATACGGTTGATGAGCGCGAACAGGACGACGCGCTCGCACAAGGCTGGCGCTTCTATTCAGCCTTGATTAGAGCTGCCAGCGAGGTCGAGCTGTAATATCAAAAACAAATGATGAAGTGGAGAGGGATAACAGTAGATATGCTATCGTCGCCTATGACGAGCGTTTGTTTGGGTTATGCTCATCATCAACGCGCTAGAAAGCCGGCCGAACCATCTTGTGGGCCTCGAGGCTGCCTCGTACCGTCGCTCACCTTAAAGCGATTCGTAGGTGGCCGTGGCTGCTCGCTGCTGTTGCTCATGTCGCTCGCGCGAGAAATGCTCGGTGTGTTGGAAGGACTGGAGCGGGTCGATGAGCGAGGAGGTGCTTCCCTGCCCTGGTTTGCATTCGCGTGCGCGTTTGGCGAATTGCGTCCTGACCCACCTCCACCTCGCCCGCCTCTTTGCTGTTGCTGTCCTTTTACCCCTCGCCGTCTTGTGGGTCCTTCGACTGCAGAACGCCCAGATCCTTTCACAGCCTCGCTGCTGCCGCTCGCTTCACTCGCTGCGGGCGATGTGGAGGACGTGGGGGAAGAGCTGTACGCAGCGCCAAGCTCGGACGTGGTCCCGAAAATCCTTGCGCGCGCCTCTGCATATGCTTTCTCGCGCTGCTCAAGCGTCATCGCTGTCGACGACGCGCGTGCACTTGATGAGCTTGAAGACACGCCGCTACCGGCTCCCGAAGCAGGACTGCGCCGCAGGATTTTGGGGACACCTCCTTCGGCAATGCTGTTAGTCTGCGCCAGGGCGGCGGTCGGTAACGTGGGGCTGCCGCCGACAGCAGCGTCAGAAGGACGTAGAAGAATCACACCTTGAGGACTCGCAGGACCAGAGGCATTTCTGCATTTAGGTGGTGCATTCGCACGAGAATGTGTCAACAAGCTTTATTGTGACACCAGCTCTGCGCTGTGAAAGACTCACGCTTTCTCCCAAATGCTCCGACTATAATCGTCCAACACTAGTGCTCGTGGTCCCGGATAGTCTTTTGATGACTCTAAGGTTGTGCCTTCTTTCGAGGTGCCGATATCCGCTTTCCCCAAGTTCTCGCTGGAGGCTTCAGTAGCAGACGCCTGCTGTGCGCCTTGGTCGGCCGTTCCATCACCACGCTCGCCTCCCAAAGATTCGGCGTCCCAATCGTCGACAACAGCGTCGGGCGCCTTGGCCTTTTGCTTGATCTGGATTCGCTTCGTAAGCACCATACTGCTTCTTATCTGAGTTTCGGCCTTCGAGATGGTGAATCACCTGTCCGGAGTGAATCACTTGTCCCGAGTCCAGAGGTTCAACCAGGAAACGGGGGTCAGGTGCTACACGTGCGCCATGCTGAGGATGCGGTTCTACACCGCCTGTTCTTCGCTGATTAGCCAACGACGCCGAGGCTCTGCACGCAACTTTGTCACAGATGCTTGCCTCTTACTTGATGTTTTTGTTGTTCCGGCTTCCTCTGGCGAAGCATATATGGTGTTCGACGCGAGCGAGCGATGAGAAAAGATAGCCTCTCCATCTTTCGGAGGGGGTGAATGTGTCTTCCGAGCGCGAGTTCCGAAGAATGCAAAGCTGAGTGATCGAGATGCAATGTCTTCGCGATGCTCAAATAACGTCGTAATTGCTTTGCAGCAAGGATCCAAGATCGACTTTCATCTCCACAGGAATTCTAAGCCATCGCCCAGGTTTACTTTGAGAAGTTGCAGTACAGCGTGCGGCTCGAGCTCCATCGCACCGGGCGGTCGCACCAAGAGTTGAGGCAATGGCGTTGGATCCAGGACAGGGAACCACGGCCAGCGGTCCATCGACAACCGCTTCTCCAACGCCACAACCCGTAGAAGGCAATGTCAGCTCTTCAACGCCGGTACCAAATTCAAGGCTCGCAAGATCTTTTCCTCGCCTGACGGCGACTTTTCAAAAGTTCAGTCAAAGCAGAGCAGGTCACGGAGGTGCTTTTGTATGGCGATACCGTCGAGGGTTCTTGATCGGATTCGGCTTGACGTACACGGCATTGGCCTACAGCATCGCAGCAAGGGATCGCTAGTAAGCAGGTCTGAAGCCACTAAAGTATTGATTGCATATTGAAACGCGGCTTGAATGACTCCAGCCTCCGTGACTATGTTCACGACAACACCTATCTCGTGTGGAAGATCTATCCCGGCGCGGTCGTCGAGTCGCGATCGCCAGCGTCCCTCTCTAATTTACTCATGGCGCCTAGTCCAGGGGAAGACGCACCGAAAGTGCTTGAGCTGTTCGAGGCGATACGTGCCCTCAAATACGCACAGCAAGATCCTAGGATCCGCGGCATATTTGCAGACTTTTCCTCTCTGCACGTGCCATCGAGTGTCGCGCCTGATCCATTAGGCCTCGCACAAATCGAGGAGCTGCACAGTACGATTGTCAGTAACTCTACCTCTTGATATCTGGCGCCTCCCTCTGACACGCCTTCCCACCCTGTCCACGCAAGCATGAGTTCAAGGCCATGAAGAAAGAGCAGCTGCAGGACGAAAAGGCTCGCGTCGCGATCGCGTGGAGCGATTCTTTCGAGTCGCAAGGAGCATACCTGCTCGCAAGTGCATTTGACGAAGTCTACGTCCAGCCCTCAGGCGGTGTACCGCTGATTGGTCTTTCGGCGCAGATCCCATTCATCCGCAAATTGCTGAACTGGGCCGGCATCAAGGTCCACGCTATGGCGCGCAAGGAATACAAGAGCATGGTCTCGACATTCGTCGAAGAGGAAGAACTTCCGCCTGCGCAGACGCAAAATGAAGCGGAATTGTTCGGAGAGCTGAACCGGTCCATGTGTCATATGATCGCCGTCTCGCGCTTCCCTGACTTGGACGCGGATGAGGCGGAGTCAAAGGTCGCTGATCTTGCGAAGGACGGGCCGTACAGCGGACGTGAAGCTCTGCAAGCAGGTTTGATAGATGGTGTCAAGCACAAACGTGAGCTCATTGAATCGCTCTTCCAGGAAGAGAAACCGTCGGGAGGGGGAGAGAAGGAAGAGAAGGAAGGCAAGAAGGTCCATCCGCGTCAGGTGGGAGAATTACGATTGGATGCACCCGAAGCTCCAAAATTTAAGGTGTGTCCGCCTCTCTCTGCTTCTCTTGCATCACTTTGAGCTGACTTGGACCTGTCCGCAGAGCCTATGGGACTACAATCGTATCAATAACAAAACCCTCGACAGAAATTTGAGCGATGACGAAATCGTCGAAGTCGGGGTCGTCTACCTCAACAGCAGCATCACATCCGTTTCAGCTTCTTCCGTGATCAAGGGGCTCAATGAGCTCGCAGACGATGATGAGATCAAGAGTGCCGTCATCAGAATTGACAGCGGTGGAGGTGAGCCGCTCTACGACGACCGTTCCTGGCTTCCTGTGCTGTTTTTGACACCTGCTTCGAATCAGGCGATGTGGTTGCAAGCGAAAGCATTTGGGATGCCGTCCGGCGAGTCAAGGCCCGAAAGCCCATTGTAGCCTCATTCGGGTGAGTCCCGTATATTATCTGACAGTCTGACAGTTCAAGTGCAAAGCTGAGCAATCCATGCGCTGCTTGGCCCTCAGAAATATCTCTGCATCGGGCGGCTACTATGCGGCAACTGCTGCGGACGCGATCACCGCAAGCGAATCCACTGTGACAGGCAGTATTGGTGTTGCCTCTATCCGTCCCATCATTACAAAGAAGTTCTTCGATCGTCTCGGCATCTCCATACAGTCCTTCTTCACGGGATCAACTGCCAACTCAGCATTGCACGAGGCGGATGCAGCGCAAAAAGCGAGACAAGAACAATATATGGATGAGACATATGCTGACTTTCTGCAGAAGGTGAATCGCAATCGAAAAGCTTTTGGTGCTCATGTGAAGCCCTCCGTGCTGACCTGACCTTGGCGACAGGTGTGCGAGGGGCGACAAATGACCAAAGAGGAAGCTGACAAGCTCGCTGGCGGTAGAGTGTACACGGGACTCAGCGCATTTGTCGCATGCAACCAGGGTGTAGAGGCAGAGTTCGACGAGGAGAGCGGAATTCTGACCATGCACAACGCCGAGGGCGAAGAAGAGGGCACATTTTTAATCAAACCTGCCGAAGGCTCCGTCAAAACTGAGGAGGCAGAAAGGAAGTCCTCGCCCACCGTATCGAAGGCCCCAAAGAAGAAGAAGGTCAAAATCTCCGACCTCACCTTTGAATGGAGCACCCAAAGCTCTGAGACGGGCGCTGGTAACAAGATCACCACGATTGTCGGACACAAGCGATCTCCGGTACAGGATGAAAAATGCGAAGATGGCGATGAGATACCGTTACGGACAGCAATCATGGCAGAAGAGCCCGAGTCCTCAGTAGACGAAAGTAAACAGCAAGACGCGAGCAACCAGAATGCAAGCCGTGGATTAATTGACATGCTGGGAGGATTATACGATGCCACATTGCTTAGTGTCACCTTAGGGATGAAGAAGGAATGGGAAAAGAAGGGCGAGGAGATGCCCGAACAGCCGGAGAGTCTCGCCGCCGATCTGTGAGTTGACAGCCATTTTCACGAGGCGAGAGAACAGCCCTGCTGAGTGTGTGCGCCTTCTCTTCTCGCAGGCGCCTGGTCAAATTCCCTCGCGAGAAGGCGTTCCTCCAGCGTGTGCGAGAGCTCAACCGAAAGGGTGACCAACCGTCGCTTTCGTGGGATGCATTCAAGATGGAATGCACGGCCATGATCGCGCGAGCTGCGCTTCGTTCTTTAGCTATAAGTGCATCGCAAGCGGAGCCCACGGACCTCGTCAAAGCTTTCCAAGATCCCACACTCGGCAGCCTGACGGCAAAAACGCGGATGAAGATGCAGTACTTTGGGATGGCACCGCAATTATAGACCTGTGAGAGGACGGGCCAGTCGACATAGACACACTGCTTCTACATGTATTGAATGCTATTTCAGGTGATTTCTGCCCCGTAAGATGCTCAGTAAAATATATTGGTGCACGAATTCCTGCCCGAAAACAAGGTATTGAATGGTATGCTATGCGGCTTCTAGAATGCGTCTACGTGTCTGTGCGTTCATGGCCTCGGTCCACATGTCTTGTTCGAGGCGAACGGCGCTGTTAGGAAAGCGAAAGGGAAGTGATTAGCATTTTCAAGCGAGGCCAGGGTGCACAAGACTTAAGGACATTGCAGACTCACGCTGCGAAAAGGTGCTGCAGCTGCTTAAGGCGTGCAGGCATAATCGCCCCTTCGTCTGCAAGCTTCTCCAGGTGATCTGTGCCGGGTGCAAGTGCGGGAGCATATCGTCAGCGTACTGCGAGAGCCCACAGTCTCTATACCTGTTTCTGGGTGACGCTACTCACCCACTATGGACAGGGCCGTCCGGCGAAATTCATTGCTAGCGTACGCGTCGATCCACTCCTTCTGTTTGTGATCGGCACGCCGGATAGCACCAACTTTCTGTCCGAGATAGCACCCTATTTCGGCATAGCCGAGCATGCATGGCAGAGTGGCTACGAGGATCTCGAGCGTACCCATACGCTCGGCGACATCGACTGCAAAGCGCGTGTACGCAAGCGTCGCAGCGCTCTCGGCGATGGCTGAGCGACCTTTTTGAAGCAGCGTCTCGCGTATGATGCCCCACTGTGCACACAACTTGACGTGCAGCTCTGACTCGTCGGCCATGGCGAGCGACAAGTTGGAGAAGCGGCGAATATCCTCAAACGACGTCGCCTTTGCCGCGGCCATGGCCCACACGTTGGCATACTGCCGCAGGAAGAGGTAGTCCTGCTCGAGGAAGAAGACAAAGCTCTCGTCTGGCAAGGTCGCATTCGCGATCGCTTCGACGAATGGGTGCCGGACGAAACGCTCCCACTCGTCGAGACAGTGGCCGATCAACGAGCGCACGAGCGGCATGTGCTCGCCCGGCGCAGCGGCAGCGTCGGCGCAGGGACTTCCGATCGCACGTGGAAAGATCAATGAGGCATGGTTAAGCGGACCGGGGCCCCTGCCCAGGTCTGCTATCCCTCGCGCAATCGAAGCTTGCACGTACTCGATGCCAAGCGCGGTCGCTTCGCGCGTCGAGCATCCTCCTGAGAGGTATGTGGCGATGGCAGAGGAGAGCGTGCAGCCGGTCCCGTGCGTGGCAGATGAGTTGAGGCGCGGCTTGAAGAAAACGGTGAAACGGCCTCTCGGACGCGAAGGGCTGCCGCGTTCGTACAGGACATCGACAACGACTTGCGAGCCCTTCTGCTGTTGCTGTTCTGCTCGACTTGCCAGCACGGCAGACCAGGGGCGACAGTCCATGCGGATAATAGCGACTTCTCCATCTGAGCTCTCGATGATGTCGCAGCCGACAGTCTCGGGGAACTCCGATGCGGCTCTGTCCACGCTGCTGTAAGGTGCCGAGGTATTATTCGGCACGAGCTGTTGCAGAGCGTGTTCGACAATGTTGCGATCGAGTTCGAGATGGCCTCCCTTGACCAGCACCGCCTCGGGACCTAGCTGGCAGATCTCATGCGCGGCACGCATCAGATCGGGTAGTGACTGGACATTGTTGCCCAAGCTGCTGGAAGAGGAGGAAGGAGATGTGGTGTACTTTGACCTGCCGCCATATGCGACCCGTAGGATCGATTCTGCCTCAGGAATGTTGGGCGTGAGCAGGTGGCAGAGCGGAAGGACATGCTGTATGAGATGCTCGATCGCTTGCTCTTCCAGCAGTAGAGAACCCGAGGTGGAGACCATGACAGGGTCGACCACGATTGGAGGTGGTGGTGATACATTCCTTACGTCTGAAGTTCCTTGACGAGTCGCTCGCAGAAAGGCGGCTACGGTCTGGACGACGTTATCGTTGGCGAGCATACCGACCTTGAATGCGTCGATAGCAATGTCATCCTGCAATGCCGCAAGCTGTTGTTGGACGAATTCGGCCGGCACGCTGTGAACCCCTTTGACGCCCGTCGTATTCTGCGCCGTCAGTGCGGTGATGGCCGACAAACCATAACCCCCGAGCGAGAGGATGGTCTTAAGATCGGCCTGTATGCCTGCACCGCCGCCGCTGTCAGAACCTGCGATGGTGCATATGCGCGGTGGAGCGGAGGAGAAGAGCTTTCTCGCAGGCCGCGATTGAGGTTGCGGTTGCGACTGTGAATGCGACTGCGACATGTTGATCAGCTAGCGCTGTGATGAGCTTCCTGATCGACCCTTCGCTCTTTTGCCATTCCCCCGCAAATCGCTGTTGCATCAGATGCCCCTGGCTATTACTTTGTCGTACAATCTGAGTGGGGCCAACGGTGACACTCTGTCCATCATCTGCAACTTTGACGACGTACGATGCACTCAAACGGATACAACGCCGTTCGCCGCGTTCCTGGCCATTTGATGTGCTCTCCGCGCATGTGCCGCTTCACTGCGATGGTTCGTTCCACACTCAACCTGCTAACATCGATTTTTATTCTTCTTGAGCTCGGCACTCTGTGAACATCTTTACAACCGTTGTGCATGCTCCCCGCAGGATGAGATCAGATCAGCAACACAGTTCAGCATGTGTTTGTAGCATTTGGCGTGCTTGCGCAGAAAGACCGATGACGCGCCACGCCTCGGGTTTTGGGCCTTCTTCTTTGGCGAGATGTGGCAAGCACATCCATCCTTCCCTGTCGCTTCCTCCACGTTTCCAGATCCGTCGCTACTGGCTATAAGGCGAAGGTCAGGCAGCCGAAGTGTGCAGTGCAATCGCACCCCGTCGCGCCGGGCAACTCGAGTTCGCTGGCGTATTTGCGCCTACCTTCGAGCTTGTCAAAGTGTGTTGTCGCTGATGTGTGGGAACGCAAGCGTTGACGGCTCCAATACCCAAAAGCAGAATGGCACTACCCCTCCCCTCTCTCTTCTTTTTTCTTGGCCACTCAAGATGAGTGAGCCGAATAAAATCGAGAAGCTTCATCGGGGTCACTTAGCAAATACTCGCTGCCTCACTCTTCCTGTTCGGCGAAAAGATGAGAACAGTTTTGCGCTTCTGCCTGGATGCCGAGCGCTCAACTCTATCGCAGGCAGAAGCAGATGATAGCTCTCGCCCATCTATAGCACTCTATCACCAGTCTGGGCGATGCATCGGCCAACTCTGCTCCCACGCGCTCCTCACTTCCAGCTCATCGGCATTCGGCCAGGCGTCGAAAACAAGACGGCCCTGACTTACGATACGCTAGTGATGCTATTTGAGCCGGCCACACGCGAGATAGCTGCTCGATCCGGTCCTTGTAAAGGCAGCATGCAGTCCCCACTCGATCTGGCACGCTCCGGAAGACGAAGCTGAAGAATTTCTGTGATGATACACAGCTCTACCGGTCCTGTGGCAAAAGTGTGTTCAGCGCAAGACTGAAAGGATGATCTTCGGCTTCCCCCTGCCGGAATAGCGAGCGGGAACTGCTCGAAGCCTGCGTTCAAGGGATGTCGACGGCGATTTGCTAGCCCACACGCGCGCTCGGCATTGCAGCTTTCAATCTAGCATGGCGCAACGCTCAAGGACGACTCCTATCTGGCTGACTTGGCTCTCATGAACAGCATGGTCGTCACAGTTGGCCTCCGCACCAGATGCATCCGACCAGCCACACCACCCATGAGCTCTGCAACCGCAGCTCGCACGGGCCACCAGTTTGGGCTAGGGCGAACAACGCGTGGTACTTTGCGTTTTTTATCATACGTATGTGAGCACTCTGGCTTGGCTTGTACATGAGAGACCCTATTACCGTATTCCATTCCATTGTGTTGAAGCCTGAATCGTACCCAGTACCAGATGATGGTGCAATGTACAGACGCTGGCATGTATCTATATAAGCATGGTTGCTGGTCGCTGTGTACCGCTTGCATCGGCAACTTTTCTCCTCTGTTGTCGAGAAGTTGCCGAGGTGTTTGGACGGGTCTGATATCCGAAGAGCGCCGAAACGGGTGCATGGCTTGACTGCCCTGGCGCCTTTGCACCTCCAGGCCGAAATGCCGAGCACAGCCTGGAGGTGAGTTCCAAATAAGGGACGTCTCACAGCAGAGCGACAGCAGCTACCTCTCCATATGGGATTGCATCTGGGCGACCTCGAATGGCAAAGAGGAATCACCTCAACCAAAGGCACGCTCCAAGCTTATGTCCCCTGCTGCATGACAAGGATGTGGAGGAAGGATACAAACGGTTGCAGCCTTGCACGCATAGAGTCATCGTCAACGTAGACCTCTTGAGATGTGGAGTCAGCTCTTTGCGCCTGGCCGGTGTGTCAATGCGAACGCGACCTCGACCACGAGCGCATCGTCACCTGCAGCTCCACCGATCAGACTGCCTATGACGCCGACAAGCAGTCCGACTCAAGGATGCTTCAGGCTGCCCGACTCGCTAGCTTCTGCTTCCTTTTCCCCTTCTTCCCGGCACCACCGATATAGCAGCTATGCCTCCGATGCGGACGAACAGCATCATTCCAATGTCCTCCCCGAGACGGAACGCCTCATTGCGGGCCATGAAAACGGTATGGCCGACAATGTAGACGAAGAGCTGGCCGAGTTGCCAGAGACGCCGCTACCGAAGCTGCAGCTGTTCATCCTCGTCCTCATGCGAATCACCGAACCCATTGCCTTCACCTGCATATTCCCCTTCATCAACGATCAGTGTGCTTCCGTTTTACCGCATGTCCCTCGCGCCCAGATCGGCTTCTATAGCGGTCTGATCGAGTCGTGCTTTGCCATCTCCCAGGTCTTTGTCGGTAGGTCAACTGCCCAGATGTGGGCAGGTAGCACATCCCCGACAATCGTTGGCCTGACCGTGTGTGTGCACAGTCCTTCTTTGGGGCCGTGCCAGCGATTATTATGGCCGGAAACCGATCCTTCTCATTGGTCTTGCGGGCGTAGCGCTGAGCATGAATGCATTCGGCCTGTCTCGTACTTTTCACGGCATGGTCCTGTCCCGCTGCATCGCCGGGCTTTCCAACGGTAACATTGGTGTGCTAAAAGCGATCTTGTGAGATCTCTTTCGCTGCCGCTCTGCCCCCCTCCGCACCGACCTAGCGAACTAACGCTTCTATGATCGCAGGGCCGAAATAACGGATAAGACCAACCAGACGAGGTCAGAACGAAAGATTGTTTCTCGACGTCTAACAGCACTACCGGGCTGACGGTTGCTTTTACCCCGTTCTCACAGTGCATTTGCACTAATCCCCTTGGCCTATGCTATTGGTGGCATTTTGGGACCGGCTATTGGAGGCACCCTGTCCGATCCGCTGGGAGTGGTCAATAGCGACTCCACGCTGCCCAAGAATGATCGTCGTTTCCTGGCGAGATACCCTTTCTTCCTTCGTGAGCAGCTGTGCTGTAGGTGTCTACCACACACCTTTTTCATCTGACGCAACTCTTTCCTGCAGCATGCGTCGTCGCGAGCATGTTTAACATTTTCGCTATCTTGCTCGGCGCCTGCTTTCTCCCAGAGACCCTCCCACGCCACGAGCGCAAGGTTCGCAGGCAGCAGCAAACCTCAGCATCCCAAGATGGGAGTGCCATCGAAGCTGGCGATAGCCTAGAGGCTGCAGCCCTCGCAGAGGTAAGCGAACGGAGAGCAGCTCCGCTGCTCACGCTGATCACGAAGCAGGTTTTCAGCGTCATCAGCTCGCAGGTCAGTCTTGGAGTGACCACTTTCGCTGGCTCGCCGAGCTGCGGAGCATGACCATGCTGACTCCTCTTGATCGAACAGATGCTTCTGAACCTGCTCAATGTTTCGTATGCGGCTCTCCTGCCGCTCTTCTGCTACACACATGTTACTGACGGAGGAATCGGATTCAAGCGGACGGACATTGGGAGCATCATGGGCGCAAACGGGGTGCTCTCCATCTTCATGCAGCTTTTGCTCCTACCCTGGCTCATGAAGCGCGTCGGCGGCCCGCTGCATCTCTTCCGCATTGTCGTGCCCTTCTTCGCGCTCGTCTTCCTCTGCTTCCCCTTCGCGCAGCAGCAAGCCGCGTGGGGATTCACACCCGGCGTCTGGGCTGCGCTGGGACTGATGGTCGTGCTCAAGACAGTGGCAAACACTTCGCTTGTCTGCGTCACGCTGCTCGTCAACAACAATGCACCTTCACGTGCGGCCCTGGGCACCGTCAATGGTCTGTCCTCCATGTGCGGCTCGGCAGCCAGAGCCATGGGGCCCGCGAGCGCTACATCCCTCTTTGCATACTCGGCTGCTCATGGACTGCGATGGCTCGTCTGGATCGCTGGTTCGACCCTGGCGCTCACCGCGTGGGCCCTCACATTCCGCATTCGCCCTGCTGCACCTGCATTATAAACCTCCATCTGCGTATTACTGTTGTAATCTTTTGATATAGAAACGGACTGGTATGCACGTTACTCGCGCTATCCCCATTCACCTACCTGCCCGCTATCGTGCACGCTGCACTATTCATCTCTGTAAGTGCTTGCGACAGGTGGCGACTTTTGAGAAGAGTGTTGAGTCTGGAGGGACGCGCTGATTATGGTTTGAAGAGAGCTGGTCGCGACCCGCCGAAATTGCCGGAACTTCAATTCCACGAACGAAAGTCCCCGGGGTTCACCTAACCCTTTTGATAGGGTGTGCCTGATTTCATGAACGACAGGAACGCCTCTATGCATTGTGTTTGTAAGCTGTTGCCAGCAATTCAGCAACACCCAGATTGTGCAGGATGCTGTTGAGGAAGACTATCAAGGACTGACTATGACTGACTATAGGATATCGGATTTGCACCTCCACCCAGCATTCGCTAGGTGAAAGCAGGTCCTGTTTTGCAGCCAAACCAAAGCATCAATTGCCAGACTTCGACCCGAGCTCAACCCGCATGTAAGCACTGCATAAGTGATAAGCTGCCAAAATATCATGTCACTGGGCGACGCACCCGCAAAGCTCCAAAGCCAACAGTCCAGAGAGAAGCAAAGCCCCGGCGCTTCCGAGCTGAACCAGACTGGAGTCTTTCCTCACAGCGGTCCTCATGGCGAGAAGCTTGGCCGCACGCCCATCACCGGCTTGGGGGGCAGCGAGCCAGTGACTGACACCTCCCTTACTGCCGCTTCGAACCGCAGCGGATCCCAACCCACCCAACTGTGAAGGCCTAGGGATGGTTCAATCGATAGAAAACCCGTACACGCTGCAAGAGGCCATGAATAAGCCTGAAAGTACGCTCGATGAAATCATTGAGATATTCGAGGAGAGCAAAACAAACGCTGCAGAGGGGAGCTTCACAGCAGGGAGAGAAGGGTGAGCTTCGGCCCTCTCCATCAGCGCTCTCTTTCACGTCGCTCTCTGCCATGCTGACTTGGTGTTCGTCATGTTTCGCCTAGCCCAGCATTGAGCATTTTCAGCGTCGGAAGCAGCAGCTTGATGAGATCAAGGCGGGGAAGCGATGAAGTGGCGACGTGACTCGTGAATGTCATGCTGCAAAATGCTTTACAAGTGCATTGCAGACCGAATCAAAGGCCCAGTTGTTGCTTGACCGAGTCTCGGATCTTCTGCTCGTAGCCCGCCCGGTCGTCGCGATACATTTTCTGGCAGAGTAGCATAAGCGCGGGCGCATTGCTGTCAGCAACTTCACAGACTTCGTATCGAATTCGGCGACCACTCACGCAAGCATCGATGTTGGCTCCGCTCTCGATATTCGGCTCCGCTAGCATGCTGACCACGCTTAAGAGGATCTTCTCAATCGATTGCACTGGTGACCAGCGCTCTGACGAGGATTCATACACTGGTTCAAAGATAAGATATCAGAAATGGCGCCTGTTCAAAGCCTGCTTTCTTATACGTACTGTTTGGATCGTCCCCTGCTGCGTGCAAGATGCTGATGCATACGACTCCGTCCGGGTAGACTGTTAAGGGCAGTACGCGAAATGAGGGCCTTGGAACCAACCATGCAGGGCAGCACACGTACCATTTGGGTGAAAGAGCGGAGGATCGAAGACCATCTTTGGTGGCTCTAATGGGTAAGAAGATGCTGCAAGACGAAGACGAGAGCAATGTCAGCGCTACGGCTTCCTATAGAGTTAATGAAGCATTCTTCACAGAAGCTAAGCCGCGCGCTGAAGATGCCGCCTTCGAACGGCGTGTCGTCTGGTCCTGGCACTAACGCCTCCCATTCCAAGTAATTGTCCTCCGAGATGGGCCCTACGGCGGGGAAGAGCGAGTTGGGATCGCTAGAGAGTTGCTTGTATTCGATCATTAGTCTCTTCACCGCCGCGTTCGAAGCGGACCGCGTTGAATTGAACATTGTTATGGCATGAGCTTTGCAGCAGCCAATGGTCGTTTTAGAAGTTGATCAGTTACTATGCGTGACATCGGCCTCGCAAGCTGCCCAACCGATCACGAGCAGAAGATCATGTACCCCTTCCAGAAGTGGTGACAAACAGACGTAGACAGTGAGTTCCCAAAGCCAAGCATCCTCTGCGTATCCGCAGCAAAGACGGTGCGGATAGAGGACACACAGTGAAGCACAGCGGAACGCGTCACGCGCCCAAAGTCCAACAGGACTAACACAAGGATATGACATAATGTGAAACAGAGCTCATAGGTGGCCAGGCTGAGACGCTGAGGCCTCCTCACCAACGCCGCTGCAGGAAAGCAAGAAGACGCCTTCAAGCAGCCCATTACGCTTTTGCACTCATGCCTGTAATGCACATCAGGCCAGCCACCATGAGCAAGGAGCGAATCATTGTGGTCAGGAGAGAAGAGTGGTTGCATCTTAGGCCTTGACTTTATCGTGCCTGCGTTGATGGAAGGAGGGGCCACTGATCAGCCATCAAAAGAAGAATAACTGAGTCCGAGGTGTTTGAGAGGGGTGATCGAAAGCGGTGTTAAGTGTGGCAAAGGTGTGTAGACTACAGAAACGCCATCATTCTTTCTTCTGCTCTTGGCGCACAGATTCGACCAAGCCAAGAAGTGAGTCCGACGCCCCTGGTTTGGCTTCCGCCTCGCTGGGTACACGGAGCCCTGCTGACTTGTGTAGACGTGCGTACTCCTCGGATGACCATGCCTCCCTCTTCGGCGCCTGCTCTATTAATTCCCGAACACTCCAAGGTTGCTCTATCTCAAGCGAATCTCCCCCGGCCCGCGTAGAATACGCGCGCGAAGGCTGCGGCTGATTTCCGGCTGATATCGATGAGTGCATCGCCACATTCACCGACTTTTTCGAGCTTCCCAGTTGAGCAGCCATGAGCTCGCGAAAGCGCGTGCCAGGCTTGTTGAGCTCATCGAATGTCCCGCTCTCGACTATGCGGCCATTGTCCATGACGACGACCGTGGAAGCGGACTTGATGGTCGAAAGGCGATGCGCAATGATCCAAACAGTGATCTTGCCATCCCCGACAATTCTAGATATGGTCTGATTGATGAGATACTCTGATGCGCTGTCCAAGCTACTCGTCGCTTCATCCATCAGCAGGACATGCGGACTCTTGCAAAGACTTCGTGCGATAGAGATCCCTGTAAAGTGAGCAACCAATGTGTATGAGTGTTGACATGATGCAAGGTCCTGAGTCCGTTGCATGACTTACGCTGCCTCTGGCCACCACTCAATTGGCGTGCATTCGTCTCCAGCTCTTGTGGCAAAGTCCGAATGAAGTCCATGCAGTGTGCCGCCTCAGCCGCTGCTACGATTTGCTCTCGAGTGGCCCTCGGGTTCGAATAGGCGATGTTCTCTGCAATCGTGCCATCAAACATGACCTGCCAAGAGCCCGCGGGCGTCAGCTCGTGCACGGTGACAGACATTCTTGCCGTCACTCACAGGCTCCTGCCCAACGACACCAAATACGTCACGCAGAGTCTCGGGCTTATACGCCTTGACATCCTTGCCATTCAGCAGCACAGTTCCGTCTTCTGGGTCATACAACCGGAGTGCCAACGCGTGCACGGACGATTTGCCAACACCAGATGCTCCAACGAGGGCGACACTGCTGCCAGGAGTGATCTTGAGATTGAAATCATTCAAAACCTTGGTCTCCGGGCGTGATGGATACGAAAATTTTACGTTGCGGAACTCGATGGCTGGAGGTTCTGTGACGACCACGTCCTCGCCAACTCCCAGCTTAATCTTGGGGTCCCTCTCGATCAATGAGAACACTCGTGCGCCCGCACCCATGCCTTTCATGATGCTCGCAAAGAAGCTTGTCAGGCTTGCAAGTCCTCCACCAAGATAGGCTGAGTTACGGAGGCGGTGTCAGCATCGCACTCACAGCGCAAAGAAAAGGGTCAGCTTACCTGTATACATCAGCAATGATGTGAGGTCTCCCACGCTCAGTAGACCCCTGCCCACAAGTGACCCGCCGTATGTGAGAAGCGTAAGAATTGCACAGTTTCCGACACTGCACCGGCCGAAGCGGAATCGAGAATCGTCAGATAGAGCTCAAGAGTGTGCGAGGGCAGCAACTTACAACCCTGTCCCGCTGTAATAGAATCCAGTCGCTTTGGTAGTGCGAGCACTTTTCAGCGAGATCCAGAGATGATTTTGCTCATGCGAAACTCACCACGAGCCTCTTTCGCTTGAATCTCCGCGATAGACTGGATTTCTCTGCCCAATCGTTTGATTTCCATGTTTTGGGTGTTGTAAGCAGTGATCGTACGGAAAGCGGCTGGCGCCAAGCGTTCGTTCGCCACGTCTGTCATGCGACCAACAGCATCCTGTGTCTTGTGCGTCAGATTACGGATATAGCGACCATAGAAGACAGCCGAAATCGCGGCCGGGGGCACGATTCCCATCATAACGAGGGTGAGATCAGTGGAGATCCACAGCATGGCTGAGCCAGCAAACAGGACTGTCACTGCTGCTCGAAGCCCATCGCCAATATCCGATGTCAAAGATTCGCCGACAATCGAGGTGTCCACGCTGAGGCGAGACACGACGTCACCGGCCGACTTGTGCGCCCACTCAACATCCTGCTTGAGGGCACTTGCAAATGATTGCCTCCGCATGCCTTGAATGAGGCGAATGCCGGCGAGCTCAAGCATAATGTTGCTCCCTGCCTTTGCAGCTGCACCGATGGCAAAGATGGTCACTAGGATGGCTGTGACCTTCCCAAAGGAAAGGCCCCAGAAAGCGTCGACATTGGAGCTGCTGAAGTAGTCGATGAGCCTGCCGACGGCTGCTGGAACAGTCAAGCTGACAGCTGATGAGACCAGGAGTAGAGCTAGTGCCAGAATCAGAGTTTTCCTCTGCGTCGAAGCCAGACCCCACAGCTTCCTGAATTCGGGAAACGGAGGCTGCTCTCCCTCTGCACCACCTGTTGAGGTAATTGACTGACGGACCTGTTTCAGCACTTCTGCTAAGCGAACTCGCAAGCCTTGCGTAGCTTTCTGCGCCTTGGGTACCGCTGTCGTCCGGACAGTTGGCCTCGCATTCACTTCAGAATCCGTCACGCGTGCACTCTGAGATTCAGCTGCTGATGCGCGCCATCGGACTTGCAAGAGCCTCGATATTGTGCTCGACGGGGGTGAACGCCTTGCAGGGGAGTTGACCTGCAGGTAGGACCTCAGACCGGTCGTTGCCTTTCGCGGACATGCCAGTGTAGTATTGCTGCAGAGAGTCTGGACATATCTGGCTCGCTGGACTCGCCCTGCCAGGTGGCCAATTGAAAGGGGCGCTCGTGTTTGAAGAAGGAAGCTTGTGCGTGCAGTCGTACCGATCACGCACGACGTACTCTTGCAGCCCATCATCATCACAGTTGTAGTGTCAGCGGCGTCATGAGAACGGGTGTCAGCGCGGTTGCTTGACTGAACCTCTTCCGAACAGGGTGGAAGACGAAACAGCGCAAGATATCTTCGTGTTGACCTTTCTCTAGATCGGTCGCATCCATGCAACCAGGAATACCGCCAAGTATCATTCCTCGGATCCAGACGGGGATGTATGATGAGGTAAAATCTGATTACCAGCTCGCCTTTTTGCCGATCGAAGACACGCTGAAAGTATTGTACATAAATTACGCACATATTCCGTGGCTGAAAGATCATCGCCGATCCAACTTTGACACAGTCCTCAACAATGCAACTTCGCATCTTTACCGTCAGCGAGACTATGTCACACCTGAGAGCAATCAAGGGCGAGCTGTACCAGCTACAACACTCATTTTCTCTTTAGTGCGGCTGTGCGGCAGTACTTAAAAAGACAACAGAATACAGGATGTACACAGAAGTGATGCTACAGGGCTATTGACTACAGAGGGGTTCACCAGAAATAAATCCAAAGTACATGGCGGAGGGTTTGGCAACTGAAAGTAGGGAAGACGCGATGGGGGAGGGATGTGCGAAGTCGAATAGGTAACCCGTCAACTGTGTCGGAGACCGGCTTAGGGAGCCGGAGTGAAAGAGGCGATCGAGCCGCCGCTGTCGATCCTTTGATGCCCGCTTGGTGCAGCAACCGGGTCTTGCGCGCTGTACTTGGAGAGGACCTTCTGCAGCGCAGGTCCAAGGATCCTCCAGGGGAAAGCCTTGACGTCCTTCTCAATGTTGCGCGGCTTGGGATCAGGGAAGCTCATGATGCGCTTGAAGAAGGCTTCGGTGCCTTTCTTGTGCTTGCTGACTGTCTCTGGGCGGAAGCCTTCAAGATTCCGCCTGATCCGATTCTTCTCTTCGATCGAGAAGCGATTGGCCACGAGCGCTTCAAGCAGATAGATCATGTCAACCGATGTAATGAAACACTCGTTGCGCTCCTCGCGAAAGATGCAGGAGACGACGATGCTGTTGGGGATGTACTGCTCTGGGAGGATCGCCCTGAATGTCGCGTGGATGGTCGTGTTCTGCTGTTTGCGCCAGAATTGCACCAGTCGTCGCCCGGTCTGCCACTCGTTGACAGTCCAGCCGACGGCCATCTCGGACAAGTCGCCATGGAGCTCGAGGCGGGCTTTCACCCTGGCAGTAGTCGAGGAGAAGGACGCGTCGCTGAGATCTGACAACGGACAACCTTGAGGGGCACGTATGAGAAGTGGGACGGGTGGTGCGGCCGGAGTGGAAGGTGCCGCCTCCCTGTACACCGATGTTGACGCGGTAGGAAGCATTCGCCCATCTGATGACAATGGCCGCACAGATCGAGAGTGACCAGCTTCCGGGTAGGTGAGTTCGCTTGTGGTCGTCTGACCGATGTAAGCCGACCTGCGCGCTGGGTTGTAAGGAAAAGTGGTGCTGGCTGTACTTGTCATGTTTCGGAATTGGTCGCCATCGCCGTAGTCTGGCAACTTAGCAGGTGGAGCCATCAGGTTCCATAGATCCGAGTCTTCAGCCGCGCGTTTCCGTGAGGGCGGCCGAGTCGCGTCTGGCATGGGATAAGATCAAGGAGAACGATCAGCGTAAGCATTGAGGGCGTCGTTCTTTGTACAGGGCTAGACGCACTATAGTGATACGTCCCTGCAGCATAGCGAGCAATGCTGCGGGAACCAGGGATGCGTATTTGAATCCCAACAGGCATTTCGATAGAATCCGCCCTGAGGGATGCAAGGTGTGGCACCGTCGCCGTCAAGACGGCGGAGCTCTGTCCAATCTGGTGCGTGGGCTCGATCATGACGCGAGGTGTGAGGATGACATTGTCAAGCACAATGTTGAATTGCTGACTCGCGGGGCGGCCTTGGCCGAGCTCGATGGCTGTGGTAGGAAGAGTGATTCGAAAGCCAATGTCCGACCCCTCACTGCCTACAAGGGGGGACAATGGTGTGATCTGCACATCGAGGTCCAAGAGGATGCTCTGAGAGTCGACGGGTGATGGCAAGCTGGTGCTAGTGCTTGATGCGCCTTGGTTTGACGAGTGCAAGCCGAGGCCTTGCGAGTGGCTGGCGACAGAGCTGCTGCTGCTGCTGGCGACAGGTTGATCAGAGCTTGGGTACCAAGTTGATGGCTGAGGCGAGAAGGCATTGCCCCCAGGCTCATCGAGCCGGGCGGGCCAGGGACTGGACCATGAGTTCCTCGTCGACGACCAGAGGTTACCACCGTTGCTTGCGCCTGCGCTGGGCGCAGAGATCAGGCCCGCGCTGGGTTCTCCTCCGACGCCATTGCTGATGCTTGCGTTTATTGAGGAGGCTGCCGCACCGAGTTGAGGGTCGGATGCTGGAGCATTGGGAAAGAGGAGTGATGTGCCCGATAATGGCAATGAGGATGCTAAAGAGTCGGGATAGCGTCGGAAGGTGCCAAATCCCCAAGTTGGAGGAGGTTGGGCCATTGCCAGAGACATTGGACAATTTGTGAGGTAAAACACGCAATGTTTCGCGCAGATGTGGATACAACGGCCAGGTGAGACGTGGTTTCAGGGATGTCGAAGATGGTGGAGGGGGATTGCAAGGATGCGTGCAAGCCCGTTGGGTATTTGAGGTGAGACCGGAGATATGTGAGACGGTTGGTTTGAACCCGTGGCATCAGCGTAAGATGAGCAGATCAGAAAATGGCAGAGATGGGGCACAGCGGGAGACGGGCCTGTGAGTGCGCCTCGTCGTATCTAAGGCAACCTTTGCAAAGCTTGATGACAATACGCACCTTTACGAAGTACAAGCTTGGTCGACTCCCGACCGAATGCACTGTCAGCTGTGAGATGTGTGACCGGGGAACACAGATGGCGAGAAGCTAGCCCTGGGTCAGAAAACTGATGCCACGGACGGATGCAGCAATCAAGGGTTTGCAGCAAATGTGGTCAGTCGGCGGCTGGAGACATGGCTCCCAAAGGCAGATAGAGGTGCCTTTACTCGCCAGAGCTAGTTTAGCAAAGCGACGGCTGATGGAGGGAAATGATCTGTCAAAATTGACAAATGTCAAAGGTGTCAAGCCTGAGCGCCTGGCCCCGGTGTGCTGTTGTTTCGATCGCGGCGTTCCGCACTCTTTGATTGCTTCTCTTGCTTCTTTTGCTTTCTTTTTCTTCCGTACGACCGGTCAGCCGGGTCCGCACTTAGGTGAATGTGTCGTCACAGCAGGCTGGGGCTCTGCACTACGCAAGTAGTCGCTTCCGGCGTTCAGCTGCTGCTGGTTGCCCGACGATCTGGTCATCCGTGCCAGGCTGCCTTTACTACTGCATGCGGCGTGTCGACGATGGTCTTCCAATCGAAAGGGAACTGGATGATATCGCCTAAGGAGGTACAGAGTTCGACTCTCGCTGTGACTTGAACTTGCCGCGCGCAGTCAGCCTACTTTGGCCAACTGCCCATGCTTGCCTCGTCCGCCAACTGCGTTCGAATCACGAGCAATCATCAATTATCCAGGCAGCTCAGGCCAGAGGCCAGAGCTGGCGCATGGGAGGTCTGACCGGGAAGCAGTCAGACGCTACGTACTGTATGTATCGCAGGCTGGAGCTTGTCAGAGATAGATAACCAAAGTGAAAACAGTGCATGCGGGTAGACTACAGATGGCGACTAGAATGACAGCGCTTGGCTGCTACGTAGCTGCGGGCCGTGCTCTGCCGCGCTGGGCACAGCAGAGCAGTCGATGAATCAGAGTTGGGAGCTGCATGTGGAGAAGGCTCCTATGGTTGTTGCTGGATGCGCACGTGAAATCTCATCGGCTGTACCGGATGCGGGCACTTTAGCCCCGCCAGTTGGAAGCGAGCCGTGAAACAGGCCCGCCACCTACCGCCCTGACACTGCTCCAGAGCCCCAGTCGACTGAGAACTGATGTTCACACAGACCAGATTGTTGCTCACGTTCTCTCGCCTGGTGGGTCCAATGCCGCGCACGTGACGGAGTCAGGCTCGCGAGATCTGAAGTCTCTTCTCCTTTGTAACGGCTTCGGTGCAACTTCACTGGGGCTTAAGGGAACGTAAATGCGGGGGGTATGCCTTAAAGGAGGCAGGGACCCGTGTCCGCGGTTGGCTTCATTCTTTTCCATTCTTTTCTTTTTTACTATTCGCTTTGCCCCACCCCTATGCGCATCAAGGCAGGATAGAGAACACTATCCGGCCCGGCCCGCCCTCGGGCAGGGTGGCATATACATAGATGGCAGGGAGCAAAATATTAATGGATCGCTCCGCATCATTGCATCAACATCCGGTGAAGAGCACTTCTTACCTTGATTACGTCCTTCAAACTGCTCAACCACGCATCCACGAGCGCAGCAGGCTCGTCAGTGACCCAGCTTTGTCAAACAGCAACAGCTGCACCAGCAATATGGCCACAGCGGGAGGCACTACGGCAGAGAAGAGGGAGAGGGTCCGTTGCCTCTGATAAGTAGTTTACTGCGAGCACTCGTTGCATTCTTTTCCGCAGCGGCCAGTAGAATGAAAGCACAAGCGTGCTGGATTTCGCTTGTTCAAAGGCCCCTCAGTAGATTATACCGCCTACCCTGCAGATAACGCAAAGTGCAGCGTTAGCTTGCCTTTACGCCATCGGCTATGGCCAGCACATTTGCCAATGCGCCCTAGGATGGCGCTTATGCCCGTGACCAAAGGACAACTGGTCCCGACGTACTTCGACGACCGCCAAATGACACGAGCCAGTGATTCACCAATTTCATCCAATCCACAAAGCTTTGCGGATGTAGCAATCGCTCCTGCAGAATCCCCCCCCCCGGAATGCATTGCTCAGTGTCTCACACCAGTGCGGGAAGTCAGCCGCCGGCCATGATTACGCTTGTACGAGATGGTGGAAGAGCAGTGAAGCTTGCACCTTCAACTCTCAAACCCCTTCAGCACTGGGCTGATCGATACCCGCAGACGGCGTATCTGCGAGCATGGCGCGGCACGGAGTGCGTACCCTCACAATTCATCAGCGCTTTTCCTACCCAAACAATTTAGCGCGACGTTCACCACGCCAGTTTTGGCCCGCCATCTGTGACTGTGACCAAGTGCTGCAGGAGTGTCTAGTGGCGATATTCATGCCCTTCTTCAAATGGCCCTTCTTCAAATGGCATCTAACTGCACATCAACGTAGCGGTTTTGCACGGGTTTCGGTTGCACAAGCTCGCGACCGCCATCTTTGTTCTACCGCTTGTGACGTGGATACTTGAGTGCTTTCTTGAACCGTGCGAAAAAGAGGCATGGCGTCAATTGGTCCACTTTCCATGACCTTGGGCCACACGTCTTTGCGCCATCTATACGCTAGTGTCAGGCTGCAAGTTCGCACCATCCGGACAGGTGACACACTCATGATGTGATCAAGCAGATATCCGATATACCCCAATATATACGTAGGAAACTGCTGCAAGGGTGACAGCGACGAAGAGATGGGTGCATTTGGTCAGCATATGGACTCTCCAGGCTCGCAATCCTCGAGGAGTTTATATGGATTGTGCTTGATGGGATAATGTGAACACTTCGAACATTGAAGGCCTGTCATCGTGCTGGTCAGGATATCTTCACGATGTGTGCGATCCTAACGTGCCAATAAGTATTCACCATATTCTTTTGCTTGGTGTGCGATACCCAGAGGAAAAACCCCTACACCAGTGCTATGGGTAGGATGGTGCTGCCCGGGGTGGTATGGAGTCTGGGAAGAGCATGATACACTTGGGCCCTTGCACGGGCAGTGTTGCCCTGCCCGCCCCAAAATGCCCCTGACAGGGACTGCCCGGGCAGAATGTGTGAACACTCTCGTTGGCACACGAGTCGTCGTCCTCAAAGAAATCACAAGTATAGGGTCACAGATCATGCTCACGCGCTCGTTGCTCTCCATCTCCATATCATATATCACAGAGAGCTCTTCTCTCTCATGCTACAGAACAGCCCCTGCCTAGGCCAGGCACCGTTATAGCAGGTTTCCAAATGCCCATGTATCGTTCCCAACTGTTCGCCCAGCTGCCATGGTCAGATGGAAAGGCATGCGCCTACGCACTGCTCTACAGGCTACAGCATGCGCGGTGCAGGCTTGCGGTGCTTCAAAGCAAGAGAAGATGGAGAAAACATGGAAGGCCGTGGTACGTATTCATGCCCATCCTTCAAAAACCACACATCGCAAGCCACCGAAAATCGCATTGTGCGGCAATGAGCGCAGATGCGCCTGGTTTAGCCATGCGGGTTTCGCGGGGCGTAACTCGCTTGGCTCTGTTTCCAACCCGACCTTCGAAGCTGAATGCTAGCGAGCGCGGACCTGAGGGAATCAGGCAGACAGGTGACACCTGTTGAGGGCGCACAGTTCGCAATGCACAGCCGACAGAAGAGCATGAGAACCGCGCACGGGGGAAAACACGTACTGCACAAACGTCAATGCACCTTCATTCATTCATTCTTTCTTAACTGGCACAGAACCGGAGATCGCACCGGTACTGGTCACCAGCGCTGCGAGGGTTAGAGGTGCACTGGGTTCAATCTTACTAGCTCTGTGCAGTTGCACTTTGAAGCCTGGCGAGCCGAAACGAGATTGGATGAGAGGCAGGGTGTTAGTTGCAAGGATCACATGCAAATGGAAAAGGGCATCCAAGGTCCACGTACCTTCTCCGCTCGTCCTCGACCCTCTGATGCAGCAGGTTCACGGCGAGCTGAATATTGGCCGGCGGTCCAGCTGCGGCGGTATCAAAGGAAGAGACAATGCCCCAAATCAGTCCAAGCATGCCCCGCATTTTTACCTGCCTCTCTGCAACGTACTGATCGTGACCAGCCGCTCTGGCGCATTTGTGTCGTCCATGATTTTGATGTGCGTCGCGCTAGCCTGCCGGATTTCATTTATCTTGGTGCCACCCTTACCGATAACGCTTCCAACAAGGTCGTTGGGAATGTAAATCTGCTGTGTTTGCGAGCCGGCTGCAGGTGGCCCTTGGCCGATGCTGGGAATCCCACGAGTACCTGTTCCAACTCCAACGCCCGGAATGGGAATTCCTGCTCCTGCAAAGCCGCCCGGGGCAGGAGCGCCAAAAGCACCGCCATAGGTTGCGCCACCTGCAGCTGGGGCACCATATGCAGCGGCACCGGGTCTGTATGCGAGATTCGAAGCCATACGATCCGAACCTTCGGCCAGGATGGCTCCGACGTAGAACACTGCAATGTGAACTGCATCTGCCACCCCTGACACGCTCAGCATACGCTGTTGGGCATGAGGGCAGGTCAGCAGAGGCATGCTTTCACTGCCAACGTATTGCACACTGCTCACCTCTGTGCTCCCAGGAAGCATGGCTTCGCCTGCTCTGAGTAGTGCTCCACTCTCCTCCTGGATCTCCTTGATCTTTGTTCCCTGCTTTCCGATCACCGAACCCATGCGTGAATTGGGAACGATGAAACGGATGGTGAATGCACGACTGCCCGGGAGGGAAGGCTGATCAAATGGCTCGTCGTTGATCCTGCGAACGATCAGGCCGAAAGCCTGGCCAAATTCGAACTCCTGAGTCACATGCTTCAATCGGAACTCCATGCTCGTGCGCATACCTTGCTGACTGCATCCAGAGGACCGGAGACGGACATGATTCGTTCTGGGTTGCCGGGTATGCTTTGGCTCTGCACGAGGCAACGCAATGTTATGGTCAGGCGGTAACACATAATAGCAAAGTCATCTGGAGTTGGAAACCTACGATAGCTAGCTTGGCCCCGCTCTTTTCCCGAATCTCGTTGATGTGCTTCCCTTGCTTGCCAATGATGATGCTCGCATCCGAGCTTACGATCAGCGCTCGAAGGGACACGTTGACCGCTGGCGCCTCCGTCTGTACCCCCTCCTCCCCGTTGAGCGAGGTAGGCCCAGCAGGAAGTGAAAAAGCATCCTGGCCATTCGTTTGCTCGCCCGAAGCAACTGATACTGGCTCAGAAGGTCCAGAATCTGCAGCGGATGCGCTTTCGGGAGCAGCTGCCATGGCTGCAAAAAAGATAACAGGATGCACTGGGTGAAATGCAAAGGAAGGATGAGAACCAGTGGTGAATTCGCTTGCTGATTCGCTCGCGTAAATCGGTGATCCGTCAGCTGATCGCAATGAGTACGATGGGAGAGGCGCAAACCAAATAATGCGGCTGGAAATGTTCAAGTCGAGTGGCCTTGATGGTGGATCCAGTTGCCTCTCGCCGAATCTTTTGTGCCTAGGAGAGCAGACTCGGCAGAATGTGTACGTTGCAGTCTGCGCGGTCGGCACACAAATCGGCGGCTCTTCCTGCAAGCAACGCGTCGTGGCCAGAAAGGCGACACCAGGTTGTAGTGGGCGATGCTTTCTCTCAGTGCTCGCTGCGGACGAGATGTCTGCAATGGCTTAATTGAGTGAATGGAGAGTTGAAAGAGAGGAAAGCATAATCGAAGGTGTTGAAAGATGGGCGGTGAAGTGATGCTGCCTTTCTCGGTAGAGAAGATGTGGCAGCGCCGCACGCGCTCTCACCTTCCTCAGGCTTTGGCGCACGAGTCTCGCCTCCCTCTTTTTCCCTCATCTGACGCACACATTCTTCAGCCAAAACTCCCCATAAGCGTCCAACACCGGCGCTCCCATCCAGCTTGGATGCGAATATCTCTCCCTGGCCTCTGCACAGCCGTTAGACTGGAGTCTGGCTTCATGTCCTGCTATGAGACCAATCCAGACAGCGAATCAACACCATGGGTAGGTGATGTCGGGCCCATGGTACATGGGGTACAGCCTCATTCACCTCACCCACACGTACGGCTTGGTGGCAAGGTGTACACCGCATACGGCAGGCATAAGCGGCGGCGTCAGCCCTCAGCCAACCCGACTGTCGATATGGCAACCAGCAGATAGCGGCCCGCAAGGGCGACTATCACGCATAAAGGTAGATCACGAGACCCGACTGTGAGCCTCTATCAGACTCCCCATGCTCGTGTGGGTCATTATTGCTAGGCTCTCAATAGCAAATACATGGTTTACAAGTTACAACCAAAACAAACGATGCAGCATCGCAACTGAACACTTATAGATGAGACGCAAGCACGCTGTGGCCGAGCGGGCCACATCTCGTGCGAACTTTGACAAGGCAGGGAGCTGGCAAGGTCAAAGTACAATGCGCAAGGAAACGCAGTGTCGTAGAGATGAGTGGATGCTGCGGTAGAAGCTTGTTGTGCGGGGCATTGTGCTTGCAAGCACCGTGCCCGCGATTTTTGTGGCACAAGACATGGATTGGGGCCAATGCTATCGCTCTTCTCCAGACTCATCATCTGAGAACATATACGCCTTTGGGACACCTTGGGAACCTGGCGCGTCAGAAACAACTTGGACGAATTCGTTGCAGGTTGCCGCGGATGCATCCTTGACGAGCTCTTGGTTCCCGGCGAGAGTGGGCGGGGTAGATGCTAGATCGAGCGCTTGCGCTCGCTGCATAGTACGTTGAATGCACCTTCCGCTTACAGCGTCAATCGCATTTCTTCCTCTCTTGTTCCCCTTGCTCGGTGATGCAAGGGCGGTTTGGCTTGTCTTTGGTTGCGTGGCGATGTCCCGCTGTCTCCCCGATCGCAAGGTGGTGAAAGAAGAGCTCAACCCTGTCTTGGCTGCCATAAGCACGCCAAACTTGGACGAGCTCAACCTTTGCAATTCTCTAGTGACGCGCTTGGGCGCAAGCTTCGCATTAGTTCCTGATTCTGCATCTTTCGTCGTGGTGCCCACACGCCCATGGGCTTCATGCTGTACGCGAGACCTGGTCAGGCTTGAAAGACGTGGAGATTGAGGCTCGCCCGATGTCACGGTTGAATGCAGCCGAACGCTATGATTCTTGAGTCCCGCATCAATCTCATCTTCGGACCCGAACATCGATTTGTTTCCTCCATGCAAAGAGAGCTGTGCGATACGAGGAAGGCGACGGAGACGCACCGTTCACGAAGGAAGGCGCAGTAGCGATCGCATCAGAATTCAGACGTCCAACGCTGCATCGACCGGCGATGCTACTTGGGGTGAATGGAGCGTTGGCATAGACATGCGCAACTGAATCAGGCTGCGTTTCCTTTGACTGGAGCTGGCCGAAACTTGTCTGTACCTATTGGATGGAGTAAAATCTGGACCCCGTGGCCAATTACCTTGGGCATTCAAAGAGGGTGTATGCGCAGAAGGCTGGTTGCGAGCTATGTATGTATGGTCGTGCTATTGCCGACGAGGGCGATGATGGTAACGATGATGCCGACTCTCTTCCGTAAACTATTGACGGGATACGCAAGGCGGGTGCGTGCGGAATGTGCTTCCGACCCTCGAAGTGCATTTGGAAATTCTTTCTTTTTTTAGCGCCATGCCGCGGAGTGGCGCGCTTACTCTCTGCAGCCACTAGCCCGCTCAGCTTATCTGCCCCCCATTTCTTTTTCGCCTACTCGGCTTCAGCTCCAGGCGGCCTTCAGCCCAACTTCACCCGTTTGCGTCGGAATGCCACTGTGCGATCTGGCTGGCCCTTCATCTCTCCATTCCTCTTGATAGCTTCGTCTTTCCATACTTCATGGTCGTGACAGTGTCACGGCCTCGTTTTGGAATGTCCGCCTGCCTGTGTGGAGATGTCGACGATACACGGCCCGCAGGAAATCATGGCACTGCAGCCATCTAACGGCCGTCAATACAAGTCCGAGATGTTTGTCCCCTCGGGCAAACTTGCTGAAGAGGCACGCTGGATATCCACTTGGTTTCTCCAAGAAAGCATGGACGAAAGTTGCACCCATTGGGGGCCTCTTGTCGTACGATGGTTGGGTGCGGGAGCGAGCGTGCATCAGCAGCATGTCTTACGGCCTTTTGGTGATGATGATAAAGGTGTGGGTGGACATTAGGCGTGAATTCCTTGCGACCGTTGGATCACGAGGCGACATTCTTGTCTCAAGATGGGAAAGGACTTCACCAATTCCCGCATCCTTACTTGAAAAGGATGCTGCACGTCAAGCTTTCAAGTGTCGAAGCACATATCACTGTTCGATACAAGGTCGTCGTCGCCCCCCTTCCAAGCAGATCACCATCTCCCTGCAACCTCACGTGCTTTGAGGGTGATTGATATTTCTGTCATCCCCAATTGCACATCGGACACGTCGGCTAGGGAAGCCAAGGACCCGCTCACTGAAGCGCTGCTACTATACTCTGCATCCAAACTCACCAGCTCCCATCGTCAAGTCGACGAGGATCTCTTTGTGCTGACGACATGACTGCAACCAACGCGCCCTCAGGGGATCGCGCGGGCCGCCAAGCCGGGCAACCCGGAAAAGCTGAAGTCGAGCACAGACAGGATCCGCCACAAATAGGCGCAGCTTTGAGCAGATTCAGCAAGAGTGAGTGCCAATGCCCGGCCTCATGGTTCTTGAGCCTCGTATTGATTATTCGTATCACCAGAGCCCAAACGCGCTCGCAGCAGGCCAACGAGCCATGAGGTTATGGAGAACGACCCGCGAAGCATCATCGGAGAAGGCATGGAGAGTAGGCAGCAAGTGCACACGCATGCTGCTGCAGACCAGGGTCTTCTCCGGCGATCTCTAGAAGGCATGCCACGTTTTGGCGAGGGCCTTGGCTTGGGGTTTCTCTCCACTCCCGAATCATCTCAGCCAAAAGGTCCGGCTCGTACGATAAGCGCTGGGCCTGTCGTTGCACCCCGCAGGTTGATGAGATCTGGCAAGAGCCCGAGAGCCGCTGCATTTGCACACACTGAAGCAGAGGACTTGCATAGCCTGCGCCGGCAGATCTTGGGCAAGTCGATTCTTGGGCGACACTGGAATGTGACGAGTAATTTTCAGCCGTCGCAGTCCTCGAGCACGGAAAAAGCAACACCTAGTGCTTCTCGATCGCGTGCTGGCTCGAAATCCTCGGACCCTTGCCCACCTATCACGAGTTCTGCGAATGCAAGCCCCAAAGCAAGCCCAGCCGCTGGTAGCAATTCGCCGATCTTCCACTCGCCTGCCCTCAGCTCTGCCGCCAGCTCTCCAGCTATCGGATCCGGAATCACCAGCCCCTCTGGTACTCCCGTTGTGACTGGCAGCTCCGTTTTTGCCAGCCCAGCGACGCAGCAAGAGTCATCTTCGTCCCATACGGCGACGAATCCAGAGAGCTCTTCTTCATCTTTCTCTGGTCCAAACACTGGGGCTTTCCAGGCGGCGCAGGCTCAGACCGATAAGGCTCATGAAGGAAATCTCACTTCTGTAGCCGTGGCAAGTGCAGCTGGCTCCGCCGTCATTCTCGCAGTTCTGGTGTGGTTCTTCGTCTACCGTTGTCGCCGAAGGTCACATCAAAAGCGCTTGGCGGACGTGCTGCACAGGTTCGAGTCGGTCCGCGAAATCTATCGAGATCCCTCGCGTATGTCGATTGCATCGCGACCTTTCGGTCAGGCCAGCCCTTTCGACAATTCTATCCATGGTCGCCGATCCCTGTCGATGTATGGTATCTCACATGCAGAGCTCGCCCCGGAAAAAGGACGTGAAGGCGAAGAAGTTCGTGTTATCAACTATCTTGCTGGCCTCAATGCAACCGATGCAACAAGGGACGAGGCCCAGGGAGAGGCCGATGCCGATGCAGAAGAAGGGGGACGCGTCTCAACAGATTTAGCTCGCACTGGGATCGTCTCAACTACCCTTGCTCCCAGTCGAGATGCCTCCTTCTCCTGGACTCACCCCACCTTGATGCTACCCCCGGCGGCGGCACGGGCGATGAGACAAGGGCATTATGTCAAGCGTCGCTCAGCCGTTGCATCCGAAACTTTTGCAGAAGGCAAAGCCTTATCGGCCCTGGGGTCAAACTCAGACGGCTCTACAGAGAATTCCAACTCTGACCGTAAGTTCATTTTCGAGTTGAACCACGTGTTGTTCGCGAATCACTACTGATAACACATGTTCGCCTCCAGAACTAAGCTCGGGAACAAGTGGGTATCGCTCGGCAGCTCCATCGGAAGCCAGTGCACAGACGGATCGTACGCTCGCAAGTTTCAACAAGTCTGCATCGATAAGAACATACACAGCAGATCATTACGATGCAAGTGACTCGGCAGGCACGCACCCTGCCGACACCGGCACGGAAGACTCATGGTCCTCAGACGACGGCAACCATCTCCGGCCTGTACATCCGCGCGCGCCCAGGCTCCCACCTATGCTTGTACCCTCCATCACCCTCACCTTGGATGACGACACCCTCGGCATGGTTCAACGGCCCCTTTCTCTTCTCTCGTCTGACAGCTCTTGCACTTCGATGGATGAAGAGTTAGCTGAGATGACGCCAGACGTATCACTCTCTTTTCCATGCTCGGTTTCTTCAATGGTCCCATCACCCGTCGCAGCAAAGCCAGCTGCCGTGCGGGACTCTTGGGCCTCTCGAGGGTCCGTCTACTCCGTGGACACATTGCCTGAAAGGTTCTCCAAGCGAGTGTCGCATGGTGACGCCATAGGAGTGGAGTCTGTGGAGAAATGCCTCGAGATGTGCGATTTTCCGACTCTACCCCCATGGTCCGGCTACCACGAGCGCAGTGGTTTCCTATCGCAATCTAGATGACGTGTGTGCTGTATTTTAATTCGAAGCACCTTGCATCGATGGTGCAGTGGCATTGGTTCAACAAACTCGTCATCCGTCAGGATCTCCACCGCCAGGATTCGGGAAGGTTGAGTCGGAAGTGCGGAGATGCACTGCACCATACATGCAATGACCCAACACCGAATACAAGTGAATACATATCATCATTCATTAACTCTTCGCCCAGTCTCTCTGTTCTCACCCCTGTCGTCCTTGCGAAAATCGTGACGCGGCTCGTAAGTAAGGCAGTGTGAGAACCACAGGCTTTGTGAATCGAGGACGATAATTCATCCTGCATAGAGTAGAAGACCTTGTCAAAAGGTCGATTGTAACGGAATGCAAGATGTACGTGCGGATTGGAGGATGGTTTAGATAGGCCAGGAACTTGCAAGAATTTTATTGAGCTCTCTGACTGGTGCTCCAAGGTCTAGCTCGGTGCCAATGGTTCTCGAATAAGCAAGTGTGTCCATAAAGCTCATGCAGCTGCATTTGGCCCTCCTTCTCACCAAACTTTCACAGCCCATCGACTTGCTTGGTCGCTAAGCATCAAGTATACAAAGAGGTTCGCTGCAGTACCTATCTAAATCACTGATACTAGGCAAGACCCAGGCGACAAGGTCAACATGGCCCCTGCAGCCTGCTTAGCCGGCAGAGTGTATGCATACTGGAATTCGACTTATTAGGATCGAATCCTCATACATTTGTGGAGATGGTTGCGCTCGT